ACGTCGAGGATCTTCGAGCTGAGCCGTTCGAGTATGATACCTATGTCCTTGATGCTTAAGTGTTTCTGATCTACAGTTAGCTGATCGATCAGCAATAAAAACTTCTCCGATGTCACGATCTCGTCCTCCATTATCGTGTTCTCGGTCTCCGATTCGGAGCTGTCGTGCTCCTGATGATGATTGTGATGATGATGGAGATGAAAACCGCCGGTCGAGTTGCCCGCCAAACGTGAGCTCGACTCCTCGTCGGCTGTGTCGCAGAAACGTACGTGACCCTTGCTCAGACCTGGCCGTCGTGTGCCGTCCGATAACGAGGATGGTGGCTGGGGTGAGGACGTCTGGGTCTGTTGCTGCTGTGGCGGTTGCTGTTGTTGCTGTTGCTGCTGGGACGATGGATGCGGGTGGTGATGTTGCTGCTGGTACTGTTGGTGCTGGGCGTCCTGGATCGGCGATGTGGCGACCGATTTGTGGACAGCGATCCTACGTCCCTCCTCGTGGAGGGCGCAGCAATGGAAGTCGCACTCGCCGCTAGGTCCGCCGTCCGCACCGTTCACCGGGCTACCGTTCCTCGCCACCGGCTGATGAATGTGATTCGAACACTCGGGTGTGTGGATATGAATGGTGGTGCTGTCGAAGGAATTGGTACTCTGCTTCACCAGCCTGGCCGGGATTCCGTGTGGCTGGGGCTGCGGCTGCTGCTGCTGCTGCTGCTGTCGTTACCACACGGGCCAGTTTTAAACGTAACTCTTTTCTAGATCGAGGGTTCGAGGATTTCGAGGCTACTACGAACGCGATGCTTCGTTCGAGGCTTCCGGGCTCGAATGCGACCTTAACTGCGCCTCGGTTCTCCACTGGACCTGACAGTGGCGCTCGGTGTCCCCTGCGCCATCGAAATCGACTCGTTACCCGGAAACCTCGCGTGAATCGATGCTACAGAGTGTATGAAATAAGAAAGAAAGAAAATAAAACGTCGTGAGTGAAATAATAAATGAACAGAACGGAAATCGAAGAAAGGAAAGAACCGTGAACGTGAAGAATGATAATATAGAAAATAAATGGATCAACGCTTTCGTACCATGTCGTCATGATTTATCACAGTGATTTGGGGGCTGGTGTAGCGGCTGGGACCGATCTCCCCCGCCAGGTGCCCCGATTTCGGTCCGTAGTTCAACTTGTCCAAGCTGGTCTGTATAACCAGCGACGGCCTTTGGCTACCGCTCAGATCCGTTTTCTTAGTCGGCGAATACTTGGAGCTCTGGGCATCTGGTACTTTCTGTTGTTGCTGCACCTGCGACGACGCGGACGAACGTTGGTCCCAGTGCAACACCACGGTGACCCGTCCCTTATTGTCCATAATTTTCCACGACGGCGTTTCATCGTGCAGCTCCAGCGCGTGTATCGTCTCGCAGACTATTTTCGGTATGGCTGAAATCGCTGGAACATCAAGAAAACAGGTGTATCGATCTTTTGTCCAGACTCGTTTACGTAGGCGGGACGCAACGCGGTTATCTGATCGCGGCCTCTCCAACGAATCTGCACTTTTGTCTTATTGTGCCTTGCGAATCGATACGGGACGCGTCTTCTATTCACGGGCCGGTCCGCGTCCTCCGCTACCATCACCGCCTATTATCATCGCAAAGTCACTTTGCCACGCGTATCCGCGCTCGATATCGATGTCGTAAATATTTGATGGTATCGGGGGAACACCTTTGCACCCGATAGTTCATCGCGACCATAATCGAGTCCAAGGTGCGAGCGTCGTAAAAATATCACCGCGTTCTCGTTCTTGTTTACGCGAAAATAATAAATAAACGCGACCAAGATAGCTCGCTAGGCGAAAGGGAAGTTTTATAGCAACGACGAGGCTGCTCGTTTTTCGTCGAATCGTTTCGCTCATCCAATTTGCCTACTTTCCGCGAGCCACGCGAAGCTCCTGCTGTTTTTATTTCTCCTATCGTCCGATCCGATCCACTGATTTCTAGGCCAATCCGATTCCCAGCCTCGCGGTGATTCGTTTCGACGATCAACCGTTCGGACGGCGGACCACGGAGAGAGACCCGATTCTCGGATTCTCGTTTCGACGCTGTTTATTCAAAAATTAATTATTCCAGCGTACGTAATTCTTTTGTTTAACTAAGATTAATATTCCTGGATATGTTTTTTCAGGTTTTCGTCGCCGTTCAACCAGAAGATTCCGAGGAAAAGGGATAGATACCGGCGCGTATGATGTCGACCCCCGTTGGAAACCAACGTTCACCATGCCGCAGCAACAGCAGGATCGTGTTGTTCGCTAGGGTCTTGAAGTATTCGCCGTCCTCTACCTGGGTGCCGTCCGATTCCAACACTAGAGACACATTCTCGTTCTGTGGCACGCCCAATTTCTCTTTGCCTGCGAATGTAAAGAAACCGCGATTAGAATTTTCCTTCGTCCTTCCGGTTAATCGAAGGAATTAAATTCAAGCTTCGAACTAGACGGAAGAAGACGTTTTCTTTCGAAACGCGTTAATTTTATTCTCCGTGCCCTTCTCCACACTCTCGACGATTATCCACCCTCCCCCACGAACCCCGTAATTGTTCTGCGTAAAAAAAAATATGATGCGATACCTTGCACCCAGTAATCCAATATCTCGTGTGTCGTGAAAAGAAAGAAATCACTTTATGTACATAATTGTCGCAGACTTCGTCGTTGCCGCGAGAAACCGCGAGCATCGAACCGTACGACAACAAGAACAGCTCCGTGCCGTAGGAAAGTACTTTCCCAGAGATATCGTTACCGTCGACAGCGATTTCGTAGGGCACGTTTCTTACCACGGTGTATCAGTTCCTCGAAATTGCTAACAACCAGTCCCTTTCTTACGTTACGCCAGCTGTCCCATATCTTAAAAGGTCTCTTGCTCCGTAACTCCTGCGGGAAAGAAATATATAAAAACGATGGAATTTCTTATCGTTCGATGGTTCGTTTGCATAGCTTACCGAAATTCTAGAAAACGTATCGGGGGTAGGATAGTTCGAAACGAGACGTAATTGCGTGTAAAGAGCGAGCGTGGAAAAAATGCTTATCGCCTAGATGTTAAGTGGAGTGTCCGAGCCGGGTCAACGGGAAAGTAATTTACCCTTACGTGTTTCATACGCGATAACTAAGTAGAACGTACTATAAACAAGAGCCTATCGCACGCGCCTCCGTGGAATTATTATCGAACATCCATACGCGTCCTTGCATCGGCCGTGTTCATTTTTCTTTTTTCTTTAAGAGAGAGACACTTCGGGGTGGTTGATAAAGGGTAGCGCGCGAGGGTTAGTCGAAAGTAGGACATACAGGACCAAAAACAGTATCCCAAGTCCGAGATCGCGTGAAAGTCTTGCGAAACCGTGGCGCGATTCGCGCGGACCTCGAAGAGAGACCGAGCCGTCGGGAAAGGAGAAAATCCCCGAAGGAATTGGACGCGGCGTTAAGAAGGGAAGCGAAATCTACTTTCCTACGCTTGAACGTCGAAGAAGCTGCGCGAATGGTGGCCGTTGCATGGGGGGGCTGGCTGGGGTAACGGGGCCACCGATTACTCGATTATCGGGGTTAAGGGGTCTCCGGATCGGGCTACGGGGACTGGCAAACGATATTAGAATAATGCCGAGGCGAAGAGGAATATTATGTTTGGGTTGTCCCTAGTTTTCAACAGGGAGGCGCAAAGCGAACAGGGCGCAGACGCGGACGCAACTTATGGTCGAAAACACTGACCTGATTCAATCATTTTCGGGTAACCGATCAGAAAAAGAAGGGAAATAAAGGGAAGTTAGAGAAAAATTCTAGGAGAAAACAAGGGACGATGAAACCGTGGGAGGGTAGATGCAAGGGAATCTCTACGAGGTCCGCGTCTTTTCACGTTCGCCGATGCTCTCGTCCCGCAACGGGATCGCACTCGATGCAGCTTCATCGGCAGCTTCCTCGGTAAACAATGCAACTGTTTAACAGCGAGGTCGAGGCTGTACCGATCCCGAGGGATGCTCCCGCACGGTGGACGAGAGCATAACCTAAAAGAGGAAAGGGTTGATCCGGTCGGATCTCGAGACGAAATCGCCTCCTTCCTAGCCTTCCTCGATTCTAGGATGAAGCAAGGACCTTCGGGGACGGTGTATGCGGCAAAGCCGTGCGTGCGTACGCGTGAACTCGCGTCGCGGATGCGTAACTGACCGACACGACATGGATGCTGCACTCGCGGGCAAAGCGGTGTTGTAAGGCTGGTTTGTCGGATGGTAAACGCGGCGATAAACACAGGAAGGTAGAGGGAAATTTCAGGGACAGGATCGGGCAAGGGTCGTGCAGGGGCGGTCGGTGCGTTTCTCGTACGAACGGATGCATCCGGGAATAAGTAAGCTAAGAATGCGTACCTCTCTTGCCATTACGTCATATCCCTGCAGGTAAGGGACCGTCCCAGCAAGCACTTATTCAGAAGGAACCAGTAAAGAAGCTGCACGTCGCATTATCGCGGCGACGGGATGCTCTCGTGCACTACTGTCCGCCCACCCTTGCTCTCGCCCGCGCTCTCTTTCTCTCTCTCTCTCCCTGTGTCTTTTTCTCTCTCCCTCCCTCTATCTCTCCCTCTCCCTCTCTTTCTCTTGCACGGCCTGTTCCTCTCCGTTTCTCCCGGTTTCTCTCGCTTCCGCGAGTCTCTTCTTTCGTTCCTAGCTCGCCTGCACCTCGCGATCCTCCCGTGCACCGTGTTCACCGAAACACCTTGCGATGCGACACCCCGTTACTCCTCCTCCCTTCCTCCCTTTCAACCCCGTTGATCTATCTCGATCCGTCTCCCTCGCCCTCTCCCTTCCTCTCTCTCTATCTCTCTCTCCCACTCTCGGGTTTACCGAGAGTCGTTCTCTGGATTTCCGCACCGTATCAGGCCCGTGTCGGCGTGGCGATTCGCGCGAGCCCCGGTATCAACGCGCGGGCCGAACGCGGCCACGTACCTCGCGGGTACACCTCATCCTAGCTCCGCTCTCGGCGTACAATTACCCGATCTAAGATTTCACTAGCGCATATGGGGGCAAATTGTAACAGTGGCTTCCTCCCAGCGGTTACTGCGGCGACTCCTAGTTTTAGATCGATTTCTCTCTCGGTGTACGTACAGACACCCTCGCCCTCGCCCTCACCCTCACCCTCGGCCTCGGCCTCTCCTTCACCGGTGCAGAGAGACAGTTCGCCCGCAACAACCTCGCCCCACGCGCGCCTCTCTCTTCCGACTGACGACCACTGCCTCCTCGTACGGGCCGCGATCTTCCCACTGGTTAGCCGCTTCCAGAGTAGCCGACTTCCTCCCAGACGGTGCTGCCTGCAACCATCGGCCAACCCCCGGCGACGACGCCGGCAACAACGCTCCTCGGTAAAGCCCGCCAACTGTTTTACCCCCTGCTCCGTCGATCTGCACCCTGTTCCATCTACCATCCGTCCGTGAAAACCTACCCCTTCGAGCAAGTTTAGTTCCCCCCAGGAAACAGCTGATCGTTTCGAGTTACTCGTTACCTTGGTACCCGTACGACAACCGTAAACAATCGGCGAAAAGGTTTTTGTAAGGCGTGTTATTATACTGTCGTCTATGATTAATATTAAGCATCCAAAGACCCGGGGTAAGCCGCCTGTGAATAGGCCCAACGCGGTCCAGGAAAAGGCGGACTGTAATCAGAACGTGGAGTGCTCCTTCGAGCAACTGTGTAATATGATCAACGATCTGGAGAAGAATATCGTCAACGAGATGCCGGAAGTGGAGAATCATCTCCAGGTAGGTAAAATTTATAAATTTAATTAAAACTGGTTTGGTAGTTCTAATGTTAAATTATGATGTTGCAGTTGGAACCGGAAAAGGATAACTCCGATGGGACCTGTGGAAGGAATGGGACGACATATGATGATATAATGACTTTTCTGACGAAGTTCGAGGAGACTGGTACCTTGGAGTAATTTTATTACTTATAAATTAAGTATTGTTGAATTTTTATTTATTATTATATTAGTTGTTTTATATAGGTCCATTAGACGAGAAGCTGGATATGGTTGAGGTGGATGCTGAGACGATGCTTAGGGAGATGCTGGAGGAGCCACAAGGTCTACCTTGCCTTAGCTGCGACAGGTAATGCTACCCTTTACTTTCACCCATTTTGGAAAATTTACCCAGTTATACAAGGTGTTCGACAACAGGTGGGCAAAATTTTAAGGGGTGATTCTAGGGATGAAAATAAGACGAAAATCAAGAATAACGAAATAGGTTTTGCAGCTTTGTTTTCCAGTAATTAACGTTTAAAATTTCCAGTAAAAAGCGCCTGAAACCTGCAACCCGCCCAGCACCGACGCCTGAAACCGGCAACCCGTCCAGCACCGACGCCTGAAACCTGCAACCCGCCCAGCACCGACGCCTGAATATCAGGTCTGCAGGGGTCGGTACAGTCATAACCAAGAATCGAAGCCGAACTTTCCCCTGCTGACCTGACGTTCAGTCGTCGGTGCTGGGCGGGTTGCAGGTTTCAGGCGCTTTTTACTCGAATCTTTAACGTTAATTACTGGAAAACAAAGCCGCAAACGCTATTTCGTTATTTTTGATTTTGAAACCTAGAATCACCCCTTAAAATTTTGCCCACCTGTTGTCGAACACCCTGTATTATAGAAATAATATAAGAAAAACTAGTCCATCTACATCAAATAAGAAAGAATATTTATTCCTTCAGCGCTAACGTCGAAAACAACTCTCCTTACACCTTCAAAGAGGACTTGGCCACAGCTCGATTACAACTAGAAGAAAAGAACGCCACTGTATCGTTACTCAAAGAACAATTAAGATCCGAGAGGAAGCTCGCCTGCGAGAAACTGGAATCTCAGAAGAGAAACAGCGCGTGCAAGCTGCAGCAACAGGAGGACAGGTACAAAGGAATAGTAAAGAGGCATCAGAAGTTCATCGAGCAGCTCATCACCGAGAAAACCGAGCTGACTGAGAAGTGTAACTCACTGGTGCAGCGAGTGAAGGAGATAGAGACGAAGATGCAGCGGGATTTGAAGGCTGCAGCTGAGAGACATGCAGTGGAACTGCAGAGGGCGAAGGACAGGTACGCAGCCGCTGAGAAGATCAAACGAGAACGATGGATAGAAGCTAGGACGACAAAAATTAAGGTTCCTTTTATACTTAAAAAGTTTAACCTAGAATTTTGTAAAATTTCTAATCAGTTTTTTTATTATTGAAGGAGATGACGGTGAAAGGGCTGGAATCAGAGCTGCATAATATGATGGAGCAGCACGCAGAGGAGATTCAGAGGCTGAGGAACGTCCACATGAAGGAGCTGCAGGATGTGGAACTGAGAACCATACGTCGTTCTAATGAACAGTTGGAACAGCTGCGATTGGAACTGACTGCCAGTCAGGAGAGGATGATGACTAATGAGAAGAATCTCCTGTGGACCAGGTAACTCTTGTCCTTCCCTTTTACCTTAGAACTTTAGCTATTAAATTTTTGTTCTTTCAGATATAAAGAGAAGCTGGAAGAGCAAGAGAGTCAGTTCAAAGCACAGCAAGGAAAACTGTTGGAAGAGCTGCAGCTGGAAAGGGAAAATTTAAGTAAAGAACGAGGGAAATGGGAGGCTGAGAAGGAGGCAGCTTTGCAGCAGATGCACCTTCGCTACCAGGTAGGATTTTCTTCAAATTTTTAAGAACAGTTTTTAAAAAATTCTTTTTCAGGAAGAAACAGAGCTTCTCAAACAACGCCATTTGAACGAGAAGAAGGTTGTTGAAGAATCGTTGAAGATGGAATGGGAGGCCTGGCTCGCTGATTACAAGAGGCAACAGAATTTGAGGATCGAGCAGGCTGAGAGTAAAATTAGAGAAGAGTGTGACAAGGAGAGAGATCGACAAATCGAACTTGTCATCGAACGTTTTGAGAAACACTCTCGAGATGCTAAATTGACCCTTCAACAGAATTTCGATCGTAATCTTAGGTAGGGTACGGTTTAGACTTCCAGCTGATGGTGGTTTTTCAAATCTCATCGCTTTTAGATATTGGAGGGAAAAATTGGAGACGAGTCTGCAAGCTGCGGTCGACGCCGAACGTTCTTCCAAGGACAAGTTGACCCTGACGAAGGAGAAACTTGAGAAAGTTGAAATTCAGTTGCAACAAACGGAGAACAAGCTGCGGCAATGCCTGTCCGAGTTGAACGACGCGAACGAGGTAAGATTTTCTTTTTATTAAAAAATCCTTCAGTCTCTGGAACGAATATGGATTTTTAGGTAATACAGCAGCTGCGTATGGAAAAAGATCAGGCGAAAAAGTTGGCCAGGCAAGAAATTGAAGGAGAAAAAAGAGAATTAGAGGAGAAAATCGCCTCGCTTTATCAGGAAATAACTCGTATTAATTCGAACAGAGATGCCTCCATGTCTCAGTTACATAGCAGGTATTTGTAAATGAATAGAAAATTTATTTTTAAAATATATGTTTATTCAGACTGATTAATTTAAAAAAATAACCTCATCTCGAAGTTTTATGGAGAATATGTTTACAATTCTTATTACATTTTCTATTTAACATATTTTTGTTGTAGAATTAAATTAATAATGACCCAGAAGGTCCTGACGATTAAAAATTTGACCAAAGAGCTGGACGATGCAAAACGGCAGAGCGAACATTTAGAAAAGTTACTGGATCAACAGCGAAGAGAATATATTTTAAAAAGTTTATGAAAAACAGTTGTTCGATGTACACCCTTGAGCACCCTCTGGTCCCCTTAGGGAAAATGGCGATCTGAGCTAGCGGAGGAGATGTCCTCACCAGTGGGTATGATACCCTGAGGGGAGCAGGCATTATGCCTAATTTACAATTGAACTGTATACTGTTTATTCGGTAAAAAACTATTTTTCAATCATTTCTATTATATATTTCTTCTCGGATACATACCAAAATGATTGCATCATTTTTTTCTTTTTATGGGGTATTTTCCTAACCTTCCATCATACCTTATATTACATCAAAAATAAAAATATTACATGATCTTTTAAGCGAAGATACATCAATTCAAATGTACGTACAATGTTCTTTAAAAATATGCATTATAAATTGGAGAAAATTAAACTTTCTTCACAATCTGCACAACATCCTCGTCGCACAACACATGATCTTTTCCTACTTTTTGAGGCTGGTGTTTCACGGACGATCCCCATACAAGAGCGCTGCAAATACAATGAAAGTATAGTGAATTGCGAAGAGCAAAGCTACAGGTATGATAAAAAGAAAATTTACTATTTGAACTCCTTCGCGATGGATCGATGAAGTTTATTACAAAAGTCTTCCACGGTTCTCCTCTCTCTGTTTAGCACCACAGGGGAATTATAATCCGGAAGCTGACCTTTAGGCTTGGTGTAGCTAAACAGTGCCATCAAACAATTAATAATTTAGTAAATTAAATCAAATAGGAAGGAAAAACTTACATTCTGACCAGCTGCAAGTAGTCCCACATTTTCTCAAGCAAATCATCGAAGTTCCATTTGTGATGAGCAGAAATGGGTACACAGTGCGGTATTTTATAAATGATATCGAGCTCCTCGATACTGATTTGATCTAGAAATTTAAATCAAACAAATTTTAATCATCCTTCCAAAGTTCCATTTATAAACTTTAAGTTACCTATTTTGTTGAGCAAATAAATACACGGTACATAAACGCGATTTCCTTCAATGACATCGATCAAATCATCGGAAGTGGCGTCGTATCGCAAAGTGATATCTGCATTGTGAATTCTATACTCTGATAGAATGCTTTTCACTAAATCTAAATCGAGCTCCGACTGTGCGCACTGTCAAATAATGCAACTATCTTAATTTTCCTTCCTTGCAAACAAAAGGAGACCATTTTTTGTGAAAAACTGCACCTGATTTATCCTCCATGAAAAAATATAATAGAACCAAAGATAGAAGCATTGCTTAATGAACCAAATCAGGTGTAGTTTTCTTTGTGATTTATTTATACATTTAATTACCGTAGTTTGAAAATTAATGCCACCTTTATCTTTCTTTCGAAAGGTAATATTCGGCGGCTGTTTATTCAATCGCAATCCGAAGCCTTCCAATTCGTGTTCGATTAATCTCTTGTGCCCGAGTGGTTTCAATACATCCAATACTATAAATATTAAGCTGCAAGTTCTAGCAACAGCGATAACTTGCCTTCCGCGTCCTTTACCGTCTTTAGCACCTTCTATGATACCAGGAAGGTCGAGTAGCTATAACAGATACTAAGTTACTTTCTTCTGTATAAAGAGAGAGTTTTCTTTGTCTTATGCTTGAAGGATAAGTATAAAAACCTGTATCTTTGCCCCTTTGTATTTTATGCAACCTGGTACTGTAGTAAGAGTTGTGAATTCATATGCAGCTACTTCAGAATACACTCCAGCAAGCGTACTCAACAATGTAGATTTACCCACGGAGGGGAAGCCTATGGTTTGTATTTAAATAAAGTAACAGTGTTTTGAAAGAAATGCATCTTTGTCATTTATGTACCCACCAACAAAACCTATTCTAGCATCACCGGTTTTAGCCACTTCAAAACCCTGTTCACCACCACCTCCACCACCTTTAGGAGTGATAAGTTCTCGTCTCAACTTAGCCAACTTTGCTTTCAATAAACCTAAATGGCCAGAGGTGGCTTTATTCTTTTGGGTACGAGCCATCTGTTGGAAAATATACATTTTAGTAACTACTCTGTATGTATATATTTAATAACTTAGGAAATCAAAAAAGGAGAGGGTTACCTCGGCTTCGATCGAAGCAATCTTTTCCAATATTGTGCTCATTTTGAAACAGTAAAATACACTGTATATTCTTTAATTTCTGATATACTTAAGCTATGTTTTTTTCAAGCTCTTTCGTGTTCTTCCATTACAAATTCGACTATAAGTATTTACTCCGCTACGTGGATTCCGGTGGAATTCACACGTGCTGACAGGTTATACACACGATCGTGTTGACGCTTGAATGCACAATATATCACCGTTGCCAGAAATAAGGAGAAAATGGTCGTATAAAGCTTTTATCTGGCAACGGTTCTAATGCATTAAACACATGAAACTGCATGAAACTAGCTCAAAACAGAGGTTTCAACTTTCCTATAAAAAGTCTATGGATCGCATATTTTAGCTTAGGGGTTCCTGACACCCCAGATGCTATCAGGTCTGCAAGCAGAAAGCGCCATCGATGCACCGGGGTCGCTGACACCCCAAACGCCATCATTTCGGTATATAGTAGTGTCAGCCATGCTTCGGGGTCCCTAATACCCCAGGATGATATGTCAGTATACAGGGAGAGTCAGCGGTGCTTCGGGGTCTCAGACACCCCAAGGATCGAATCAGGTCGTACCCATCACTATCACGAACAAGAGAGTTTCACGACTTGTTCGTTTTTAGGTCTTATATTTCGCTAGATTCGGTCATACCCATCACTATTCCGAACAAGAGAGTTTCACGATTTGTTCGTTTTTAGGTCTTATATTTCGCTACTTGCTTTGGGGTCCTTGACACCCCGGTGACTTAAAATTGTATGCAGCATTACCGGTACCTCGGGGTCCCTAGTACCCCGAATGCCAAATGTCGGTATGGAAGCGGTGTTACAGGGGCATTGGGGTTCCTGATACCCCAATATGATATCATGTCGGTATCCAGAGATAGTTATTGGTGCTTTGGGGTCCCTGGTACTCCGGATGCCAAAATGTCGGTATGGAAACGGTGCTACAGGCGCATTGGGGTTCCTGACACCCCTATATGATATCATGTCGGTATAAAAAGATAGTTGATGGTGCTTCGGGGTCCCTGGTACCCCGGATGCTATATTATTGGTATGCAAAGATATCCACCGGCGTTTGGGGGTTCTTAACACCCCAAAATGTTATCAGGTCCGTATGAAGAGGGCACAACCAGTATAATTTTTTTCCAGAGTTTATTTAATTTACTTCATTTATTTTTTTTTGCTTATTAAATAAGCTCATCAAAGGAGAATAACATTTATGATTATATCCGTCTTCTGGGTCTCAGCCGAGGTCCCTATTTATTTTACTTTTTCCAGTTATTTATATAATTTTATACCCCATTATAGCCCAAGGCCTTCTCAGTATCCTTTACATCCCTGCATTCCTTACATTCCTGGAACCCTTAAATACCCCCTTTTTTTTTTTTTTTTTTATTTAACGTGGTGGAAATCTTCAGAAAGACACCTTCAGCCCCCCTGGGGAGGGGCCGGAGGTAGTGTGGGATTTTTACCCACTAAAACCACCACGGTGGCCTGCACTAGGGCGGTAGGGAGGGTCCTGTGACCCTCCGCCATGTGCCAAACTCCGCCGGCATCGAGGGCCACACTCGATGCCGGCACTCCTTGGGCCGCGTGCAGTGGAGACCAGGGCCCCAGCCCCGGACCCCTACGGAATTCCTTTACATCCCTCGTTCCGTTACATCCCTACATTATTATCATCCCTACATTCTTTTCATCCCTACACTCTTTTCATCCCTACATTCCTTGCATCTCTTCATTCTTTTCATCCCTACATTGCTTTCATTACATCGCTTCATCCCTTAAAACCCTAAATTCTTTTCATCCCTACATTCTTTTCATCCCTACACTCTTTTCATCCCTACATTCTTTTCATCCCTACATTCCTTACATCACTTCATCCCTTACATCCCTACATTCTTTTCATCCCTACACCCTTTTCATCTCCACATTGTTTTCATCCCTACATTCCTTACATCGCTTCATCCCTTACATCACTACATTCTTTTCATCCCTACATTCCTTTCATTACATCGCTTCATCCCTTACATCGCTACATTCCTTACATCCCTGCATGCCTTATAATAAATATATTATAACGACTGCTTCGAGTAAAGGTAAGTTAATTTTCGCGAAATTCTCGAAAAATAGCGCCCCCTAGCGGCAAAAATGTGAACTAAAACGTCGATGTCGGATCCGCGCCATCTGGTGTCGAAAAAAGGAACTAAACCTTGCTCAATTTTTGGCCCTCTGGCGGCAAAAATGTGAACTAAAACCTCGAGGTCGGATCAGCGCCATCTGGTGTCGAAAAAAGGAACTAAACCTCGCTCCATTTCTGGCCCTCTGGCGGCAAAAATGTGAACTAAAACCTCGATGTCGGATCAGCGCCATCTGGTGTCGAAAAAAGGAACTAAACCTCGCTCCATTTCTGGCCCTCTGGTGGCAAAAATGTGAACTAAAACCTCGATGCCGGATCAGCGCCATCTGGTGTCGAAAAAAGGAACTAACTTACCTTTACTCGAAGCCGCCTTTATAATATATTTATTATGAGGAATGCAGGGATGTAAGGAATGTAGGGATGAAAAGAATGTAGGAATGAAGGGGATGTTGGGATGAAAAGAATGTAGGGATATAAGGGATGAAGAGATGTAAGGAATGTAAGGATGAAAAGAGTGTAGGTATATAAGGGATGAAGCGATGTAAGGAATGTAGGGATATAAGGGATGAAGCGATGTAAGGAATGTAGGAATATAAGGGATGAAGGGATGTAAGGAATGTAGGGATATAAGGGATGAAGCGATGTAAGGAATGTAGCGATATAAGGGATGAAGCGATGTAAGGAATGTAGGGATATAAGGGATGAAGCGATGTAAGGAATGTAGGGATATAAGGGATGAAGCGATGTAAGGAATGTAGGGATATAATGGATTAAGCGATGTGAGGAATGTAGGGCTGAAGAGAATCTACAGAAAAGCAATGGAAACTATTTGCCAACTTATCGACCGATCCTCCGTCGGTATATGCATAGATACATAAGTCGGTATAATCTCTGCAGGTATTTTTAATATACAGTAATGAATTATTCTTGTATATAAGAAAATGACACGTATTGTCGATATCAAATAAATAAATGAAATTACACCAGATAACGTTAGCGAGTTAACAAAATATATTTTATTCATCCTTTGTGACTTTGTTCGATGAAACAGACGCATAACCAATCAAACTAAAACATTACACAAAGTAGTGTAATTATGCCGGTTTTTCAAGAGTCTTGTGCAGAGGTACCGTTTCAAATCTTGCATAATTAATTTAATATAGAGAATTAGCAGAAATACTTTCTATATTTCAGCAAATCCAAGCTCAAACCATCATTATAATTCACCCTGGGTCAATGTATCTTAGGATGGGAAGAGCATCCGACTTAAATCCTTGCACCATCTTAAATGCTGTTGCAAGAAGACGTTTACCTGGAGGATTAGAATATAAAGATAGTTTATTACCACCTGCTGTTCCACGAGTAAGCTTCTTTCTTTCATAATTCATGGTTCAACAGAGTTATTTTATTTACCACTGGCTTTAGTAGACAAAAGAATTGACTCAAGCGATGGAAGAATCTCGTCTCCAAGTGTCTCACACGTTACAATCTTGTCTTCAATCCGACGGAAGAAGAAGATATGCTACTCCACCTCAACAAATAGCTGCCTTTAATCGCAGATCAAATCCAGAAATATCATCCCCATGTAGCGTTGAATGGATTAAAACAGACAGAGATGTTGTAGTCGGAGACGACATACTGTCCCTAAATCCCGATGATAACTTCAATATTCACTTTCCATATAAAAGAGGAGAGCTGAATGTTCATTCAGGACCTGGTGGTAGTCTAAGATCCGTTATGGCCGACTTAAAAACCATTTGGGAATATGTTCTCACAGAGAAAATGGACATTCCTTTAAGAGATCTAAAGCATTACCGAGCTGTTCTCATAATACCAGATATTTATAACAGACAATATTTAAAAGAATTGACAACCTTGATGCTTTGTGAAATCGGATTCGGCGCATGCTTTCTATTGCAAGTTGGTATCAATAAAATTTTTTTAAGTACACTCAGGAACTCAAAGATTTATTAATGAATGAATACTTTATTGAAAGGATCACGTAGCAGCTACGTTTGGCGCAGGACTAGGATACGCCTGTGTAGTTGACGTGGGCGATCAGAAAACGTCTGTTTCCTGCGTGGAAGATGGAATTTCTCATAGGAACACCAGAGTCCGTATGGATTACGGTGGAGGAGACATTACGCAAACGTTCTTTTGGTTACTTCAGAAATGCGCATTTCCCTACAAATCATGCGATCCGTCCAATAAATTGGACGCTTTACTTTTGAATCAACTAAAGAAGGATTTTTGTCACGTTGATCTGAACGTATGCGGATCCCAAGAGAAAACATTTGTAGTCAGAAAGCCAAAACAACAGACAGAGAAGTACACTCTTCAAGTTGGAGACGAATGTTTGGTAGCGCCTCTGAGTTTGTTTCAACCAGAATTATTCAAAGTAACCGGAACACACAATGTACATATACAAAAGAGATCTACAGGGGATCCAGAAGATCCGCACGATGAAAATTATTTACGGGAAACGAGTGTAAGTACTCTGAAATAGAAACAGGGATTTCTTTTAGCTTTAGATTTCTATCATTTCTAGAGGAGAGGTATGAAAGAGAATCTGGAGCAGACGTCCGAGATGCCTGAGGAAGCAACTGCCCCTACAGCAGCAGGAGAAGAGGAAGTGGTCGTGGACGCTGTGGATTCGGCGCCGATCGCTTTGTCCAATCGCGATTTGGACGCACCTCGTGATTTTGTGGTAGGCCCTCAGCAACTCCTGGGCCTCGATCACGCCGTGCTCCAAAGCATCGATCGTTGCCGTATGTTAATTTCAAACTAATCATAGCAATGCTTAATAGAAGCTTTTCATTGAATACATTACTTTACAGCTACTGAAGACTTGAAGAGAAAGATGTACAGCTGCGTGCTTGTCGTTGGTTCAGGCATGAAGTTCCAAGGCATTGGTATGTGGTTGCACAATCGGATCTCCCTTCAAATTCCCTACATGTACAGAGCTGGTATGTATATTTCAATTATATTGTACTTTAATTCTGTTGTAAGGATACTCAAGTTTGTTCTTCTTTTGTACAATTTATAGAACAACTCGATATCATAACTCAACCCAAGGAAATGGACCCTGGGATGACGGCGTGGAAAGGTGCTGCGATTTTGAGCTGCTTGGAACCTGCTCAAGAACTGTGGATCGGTCGACAGGAATGGGAACGAAACGGCGTTCGAATATTGAGAGAAAGAGCGCCTTTCATGTGGTGATGTCGACCAAGTCTTTCCATGTATAATTAACTATGCAAGTTTATTTAAAAAGTATCAATAAGTGAAATATATTAAGTATATATTTATAGTAGATTCGTGTCTTATAACGGCTCTGTTAATCTAACTTTGTTTTTGTCGTTTCTGTGGTACACAGCAATGTTTGCTCCAATTAGGAAGTTTACAAAGTATAAAACATCAGGTGTTACATCCACGTATAATTCATTGCCACCTTTGCTATACGACAATACTAAATCCTAGAAATTTATTTATTATTTTTATGCTGAAATATTTTGCGCAAACTCTTTGAATGATACTCACTGCTAAGAAATATTTAAACTCCGGGTTTTTTGGGAATATCACATCTACCACAGCGCTCTAAACATTTAAATATAATTGTAGTCAATACATAATTCTAATAAAAGACAATGATAAATGAATACCGTGTTCTGTCATACCAAATCACTTTTTACTTCCTTAAACATTCGGTGCGTTATAACTTGTTCCTTCATGTACGTTGTACCTGCTTTCGTTTCAGCTGTAACGGCATAAGCTTCTTTCATTTTCTCCAATCCCTGCTGTTTACTTTCTAAACTGTAACAAACGAGGGAACGACATTTTAGAGGGGATTAGTGTCAAAGAAAATTGAAAGCATTTTGATCATTTACGAACCAGGATATGTCTTCGTTAATTTCAGAAAGTTCAGCCTTCATATAATCCAAAAGTTTTTGCGAGGCTTCAACTTCCTCCTCTAGTTCCGACAAAACTTGAATATGCATATCAGGAGTTCTAACAATTGGGAGATCATTGTCTTCTTCGCGACTTACATGATATAACAGGCTACGATAAAAATTCTGTTGCTTTTTTCTCACATCCTCGGGATTACTAGCGTTGTTCAAAGCGACTGGATTGTTATTCAAAATTATGTTCATTAAATCGTCTATTTCTCTTTGTCGTTCTGCTTGAGTATCTTTCAGAACTTCGAGAGTATCCTCCAACGTGAATTCCATTTTGTACGTTTAAATGTTGAAAAAAAAACGGTATGTTATGACAGGAGTACAAAAAACGCGGGAATTACACACGTGCATAAACTTCGTTTCAAACGAACGTCAAATAATAGCACCTTGCGAAGAAATTTCTAATGAAAAACTGGCTGAAATGTTAGGGTTATTTCAATTAATAACTATGAAAATCAGAGTACTGATTGGTGAATTTTCAAATCATCTCGCATGCGCATTTTATCTACCTAACCCGGCGTCTGCTGTAAGTGAGGTTAGGTAGTTGTTTCAAGGGATCGTTATGATGTCCAATAAATTGAATTTCCTTTTAAGACAATTTTACAGAGGACCAGCATGGAATTGTCGATTTTGTTCAACGGTTCCACCAACAGCAGGTAATCACGATAAATTCTCGAATTATTTCCTCTTAAGCATACGTGAATATTTCCATCGCTTGGAGGTTATGTTGTTCAACGAAATTGAATTGTTTATAGGGAACGAAAAAGATCTCGCACCGATGTTTTTCGACGAACGTGTACAACAGTTGTTGGTAACATTAACTCGCATTAATTACGAAAGGATCTTTGCGCCTCGTAGAGATGGAACACCGTTGACCAGTCCGACGTACAAATTTATGACGGACGAGGAGCTGAAAGAAGCGAAATTGGAGGTGGAGAAAAAAGCAAGGGGACGGATACAAATGCCACCAGTGGTGAATCCGAGGGACGACACGGATCTAGTATTATCCAAAGATTATGCCATACAAGGTTTCGACAATACAAAATACGTGTTTACCGACATATCTTTCGGCGGCACCAATAGGCATAGAGTAATAGTGGTGCGAGAGCCTAGTGGCATACTGAGGCGCGCGAATACCGATGAAAGGCATCGAATGAATCAAGTCTACTTTCCTATAAAAGACAGAGAGCTACATACACCAAAGATGTTCACCAATCCCCACTTCAGCGTAAGGATTTCTACTTTCCCAATGAAGCTTCCCTTGGGAAAGCTAGTTACCCTAGTCCAGAGGTGTTAAGTACCTATAAACTGGACTTTTTGTTCTAGGAACTGCTGGAAAAAGAGGAATTCGAGTTCATCTTGGACAGAGCATGCTTGCAGTACGATCCGGACCATTCAGAGTATCACAGGATCACTAAAGCGGTGTACTCTCGAGTGCAGGAATGGAAGAAATTCGATGCATTGCGTTCAACTCGACATTTTGGTCCTCTGGTGTTCCATCTAGCTTCGGAGAAGAACATCGAAGCTCTGTTGGAAGATGTAATTAAAAATGGGAAGATAGAGGAAGGGGCCGCGTTGGTGGAGCTGTATCATTGTCTCCATCCCGAGGCTCAATCCGCCGGAAAACCGACACAGAACGACATAGAGCTGATCAGGCTCTACGCCGAATTGGATTCCTCGGATCGGTATGGCATAGAGCGCGCCTTGGAGACGTACGAGCATATACAGGCAGAGAAAAAACAACTACAGGAGCGTATAGAGCAGGGACACCACGTGGCCGAGGAAACGGACCAATCCGACCAACCGAAAACGTGAATGGAAAGCGTTTCAAGAGAATTTCTCTATCTTGTACAAACCTTGTTATTGTTACGAATCGAATAAATAATTCATCACCGACAAGTCGCTACAACTTCGATGGTTATTAATCGATTATTTTATTACGTGATAGTTACTTACAAACATTTACAAATGTAACAAGTCAATTCGATTTGGCGTACAGGATCGTCGGAAAACATTCTTAAAACATTTTTTTTTACGGCTAACGTTATGGAAAGAACAGAATCTATTCGGGTCCTGGTTTGCGTCGCGCAAACTCGTTAGGTGTGCATCTTCCTGCGTCTGAGGGTTGCTTACCGTGGCACGGTAAAACAGGGAATGAATTCTCGCGGGTTATTTTTAGGGAACGAGACAGGTGTACGCAGGTACATTGATAGGTAAAATGGATGAAAGAAACGCGTACTATCATGGATAAACAAAGAGCGTGAAACGAACAGGAGTCGGATAGAAAGAAGCAGCTTTGTACAAATGCGACGATATGCGGCTGTAGATTGCCCGTGTAAGTGTGAGTATCTAAGTTTGTCGTGGTATTCGGTGGAACACAATACACAGCGGTTCGATCTAGACCGATCGAACGGCAAGTGCTAGTTCGTTGGGATAGAGTAGCATTTCTTTCTGTTTTGATAAACACTCGCAACTGAATACTGTGTGTGATCGATCGTTATTATCCATATCTTACTCGTATTACTCTTATCCTTATATGTATATTAATTATTACTTCCATATAGATGAGTTTCATGGTGTGTACGTAGAAAATAAATAAGAGCACGATTACGATGATCGCGTACAGTAGACGAAACTTGTTACTAATTCGCTATTCGACGACGATCGACGAGGAAAGGAAACCGCCGGCGCCAATGTGTCACGAGGCAAACGGAAAACGAACGGAAAATCGAATAAGCACGGATTCGAATCTATCGGCTATTAGGCCTGAAGCAAAGTATGCGCGTGTAGATTATATAAGTGACGCGTGTGATGGATGTATGTGTATGTACGTATATACCATGGATTTCTGTCGAGTATCGAACAGCGATTTTAGGCAGGATAGGTTATTCCGCGCATGTGCATTGTGTACGCATGAAACGAGGGACTTATAGTGCCCCTGCGTTTGATCTCATTTAAATTACTTAAAAATTTGGAATTATAAATAATGAATATATGTATATACGATGTTATAAGATAAGAAAGTGATAAGGTAAAGAACCTGTTACTGTCCAGCGCAGTCCCGCCAAAAACTCTGGGGTCCGCGCCGCCATCATGGTACGTCACGAAAAGTCGCGCATGCGCAGAGAAACCTATCCCATCTTAGATCACTGGTATCGAAGGAAGCACGGATCCCTTAATTTCCTACCATTTCTTTTTCTTCCAACGTTCTTTTTATCAGAACAATTCTTTTGCTCGCGTTCCGTACGACGACAGAAACTTGGTTGATGCGATTCAAGCGAATTAATTGATCGACTAATCGAATTAGGAATGAATGTTTCACGGGTTGCATCGTCGAGGCGTTCGCGACGCTGTTCCAATGTAAAGCGCGCGGAGCACACAGACAAAAGCCGGTCGATTTTCGAGAAGAAGCGGTTAATTTGTTAAACAATTTACAATCGATTTCTTTTCGCAATTTGCGCTTGGAAAGTGGAACGAATTGGATTTGAAACGGCGCGCCGCGCACGCCTCGCGATATACGAGTAGGCTCTCGTTATATTGCCACGTGAAGGATTTCTCTATGATATAGATTTCCAAGTATAACAATACCATTCGAAAGTGATATATTTTTATCTTCCTTTTCCCTCCAACTGTAAGCTTGAAAAATTTCCTGCCTCTACAACCACTTCTGCGGCAATATAACGAGAGTCTACCGTACATACGTATGTATACTCGTCGCGTTCCAATCGGTAAATATTGAGCAATGTTCCTTTAAATCTTGCCTCTCTCAGGATTTTCTCGCGCTCTCCTTCGTCGCATTTTCGCTCGAGCTCGTGATTAAAGCTACCTACTCGAAACGCGCCGCAAATTGCAGGAGGAAAATTCGTCTGCGGCATCCACCTGCGACATTCTGGTCTCCCTCTCATCCGCCTCTTTATCTACCTATCTATATTCGTTTAAATACTCCTTTATGATACTCCTTTACTCTCGTCCCTCTTGTATATGTATTCTTCTCAATGGATACAATAAATACTTATACGTACGCAGGATGGTTCGGCGATGGTGTCGCGGGTAAAAAATGGAATTGGCCGAGTCGAAAATGCGAGAAGGTAGCAAGGAATCGCGGTTTCTTTCTCCTTTACTCTCTCATCTCGTTTGGCACAATCGTCGCGAAAGTTTGACGACACGAGGACCCTCCTCCTCTTCCCTCCCTTCGTCCGAAGGGAGTCGATTACAGCTTCGCGTTTCGGACAGGAACTCGGATCTCCGAAAGTCTGAAATGCTTCGACTTCTTAACGCGACGTACCTGTTTCTCTTTCCGTGATCGTTGAACACCCTGGAAGGGTGCTGGGCGATCCCCCTCTCCCTCTGTTTAAGAATCTCTCTCTCTCCCTGTTGGGTTCCGACAGAGATTACGTTTCCCTTTACGATTACTCTAACACTATATCGTTAATTATGATAATCGATATTATAAATAACGCGTGACTCGCTAAGTTCTCTACGCTGTGATACCCTACTTTCCATCGAAACGCGAGCTGCCGCGTTTCCACGAGCCGCTTAGCCAGTCTAATACCTCCCGTTAAACGTGTATCCGTGTCCCGATAAAATCAGCGCCCGAGAATAGCCCCCGAGGAGTCGTTAACTCGCGATCGCGAGCCTGGCGATCCGCCGGACCAGCAGCTCGACGGTCGAGTCGATCGAGAATCGATATCTCGGTCACAGAATGTCCGTCTCGTAGATCTTGCTGGTGGTCGTGGTGGTCGTACTCGGGGTCGCGGTGACGGGGGCGGTCGTGGCGGAGGCAGCGCCGTTGGAAATCGCGGCCGAGTTCGGAACTTGATCGGCGCCGTTCGACTCGGTGGACGCGGTGGCTGTGGTCGCGATCCTGATGGACGTCGACGAGTTCACGGACGCGGTGTTCCGTTGGTCGCCGGGCTGTTCAGCTCGCGTTGCTTCCTGAGGGATGGGGGCGATTGGTTTGCCCGCGAGGCTGGTCAGTGATCCGGAACTAGCGGCGCTGAGTCCCAGGCCCATCTTGGCCAACAGGTTGCTTTCGGAGCCGGTTTTCTTCAGGAGATCCGGGGGCGCGGGTGGCACGGTGGTCAGGCCGGCCGTGTTTCTCTGCAGCTGTTGAAGGCGCGCGTATTGTTCCTGCAGAGCCTTCTGCTTGCGCAGCAGTTCCTGGTGTCGCTGGTCCAGCTGCTCCTGTCTCTCCTTCTCGATCTGCAGGCCTTCCTGCGAGTTGACGCTCTCGCAGGAGCTGGAGTTGCTTGTGGACAGCACCGCCAACGTCTGAGACCCGGTGGACCCGTTGTTGTGCAGCAGCGACGGCCTCGCGTCCAAAGCGGAGACGGCTTCGGCCGGTAGAGCCATCGGGGGTTTGCCCTCCTTGATCGGCAGAGTGCCGCGAGCCGGAGGTCTTCGCAGGGTCGCGTTCCCGGTCTGCAAGTTGCAAGAGTGATTTCTGGGCGGTAGCTGGGGACTAGTGGGGCTAGCCAACGGGGATCTGGAGCTGGTGCGCGGCGGGGGAGGTGGTGGGACCCTTCTAGCTGTGGCCAACTGCAGCAGCTCCGCGTTCCGTTCCGGCACCGGCGGCTTTTGACCCGGCACGAAACCCTGCGGCAACGTGGGCAGACTCGGCTGCTGATCCTGCAACGAAACCTGAAGTCTCGCTATGGGGGGCGAGGTGTCCGTGTCCGAACTAGAAGGATAAGAGTGCAGTCGGCGTAGAGTGCCACCGGCGACGTTCGCAGCTGCGCCGGTCGGCGCCAGGGCGGCTATCACCGTTCCGCTCGACGAGTCGATGCTTCCCTTTCTCCCGATGTCCGAGATGCACGGCGCCCGTGCCGGTGTGCCGACGTTCGTCGTGACCGCTCCTGCTGGCGCCTCTCCTCTGACCGACGTCTGCACGTGACCGAGCTGCGAACTCGGCCTCGAGAACGTCTGGAGCTCGTCTAGCAGAGCGTCGAGTGCGTTCTCCGGACGCTGCTGATGGGCGGCGGGTGGCTCGAGAGCGTGGGGCCCTCCCCCGATGACGCTCGCTGACCCCACGACAGTGCGTTCCGCTGGCACAGGGGCAGTTGCCTGTGTGTTCGACAGGTTCCCGTTTACGTTTACGTATCTCAACCAGCGAAAAACCTCTATGCGTCGCTTTACGCTTCTTCTACGCACGCGACACGGTACAGTGGCGCCATCCGTCGGTGAAACGCAGAGCGGATTGCTCCGCTCGCGTTACCCTTCGAGCGATCGTCGGAAGTTGGAATACGTGGAAAGAAGTCAGAGGCGGAGAACGATAGCCAGAGAAGACAGAGGAGAACACAGTACCAGAGAGAAACGATGCGTTCCAACCAACACGGAGGGCAACTTCCGGCGACGTCGAGGATTCGGATCGCGCATCCACCGTTCGCTTATCGTCTACGTCATGCCAGTGGTAATGGTGAAGTGCTCGCGATTTATTATACTCGCATGCAAGGTGCCAGAGTGAGACACTGGTGAGCGAGCGATCCAGGGCTAAAGAGCGTGATAGCTAGGGGTGGAGAAAAAAAAAAGATACGCGGAGGTAGGCGACACAAGTGGGATGACCGAGAGATCGGAAGACGCGAGATCGAACGATGCGAGTCGATGAGTCGTGAGCGCAAAAAAAGATAGATAAAAAAAAAAGTAGTCAACTGGAAACATATATACGGTTAATTAATGAATTCCGTTAGATAGTTACCTGCGGTCTGGGTTATACGTTTTGTGCGTGCGTTGTGCGTGTTACAAGTCAGTACTCGTTTGGGGCTCTTTTACGTTTGGCATCGATTGTTGTCCAGTATTAGTCAACTTAAAAAACAAAAACAGAGAAACGAAAAATGAAAAATCGAAAATCAGATCTTGTCGCGATTCGTTGGGAACAGAGGGGCCCGGAGGGGAAGCTGAACGCTGCCCCTGACGACCCGTGTCCCACGCGTCTCGTCCCGCGCGTTCTCTTCGTCGGTCCGTGTGCGAGAAAGTAAAGCTGTACGCGTCGCGACGCGTCCTCGGCTCTCGACGAAGTTACCTATCATTCTTTCTCGTCGAGGTTCCCTTTTGATACTCGTCGTCGATGTACCCGACGAACGCCTCGCGATCGCGCACGCACTCCTTTCTGTTCGGCAAAAACGAAGCTTCAAACGGCATGCAGTGCTGTATATGTATAACGCCAAACTCGGACACGTGCAAACGCGGATCGAAATACACATTCGCGCTAGAGGTGTGCGAGAACCCGAAAATTACTTGGATCGGAAGTTGATTGTAAGTGTTTATAGAAAGCTGTATTTGACCCCACCCGAGCCGGAGCGAGCCAATCCGACTCGACTCGACCCCACCCCGGCCGAGCCGAACAAATCCGACTCGCGCCGAGTCGAACCGATTATACCCGAGCCAACCCGACTCGAGTCGTCTCGTCCCCACTCGAGCCGTCTCGTCCCCACTCGAGCCGGAGCGAGCCAATCCGACTCGACTCGACCCCACCCCGGCCTAGCCGAACAAATCCGACTCGCGTCGAGTCGAACCGATTATACCCGAGCCAACCCGACTCGAGTCGTCTCGTCCCCACTCGAGCCGGAGCGAGCCAATCCGACTCGACTCGACCCCACCCCGGCCGAACCGAAGCAACCCGACTCTCGTCGAGCCAACCTGACCCGATATTTTCGGGTTCTCGCCCACTTTTAACCTCACACAAATATATACACACACACACACACACTCGCATGCACATATGTACAGCGTATATACATAGAATATACACATCGTAGGCGTGTCGAACGAAGGTAAACGTGCATGCCGCATGCTGAGGCGCGTCTCGTCTCTGCGTACACACGTAGGAACATGCTCCAAAGTATATAGACGAGCGATCGTCGAAAAAACCAAACAAGGAAAAAAACGTTAAAGTAATGTACGAAAAAAGTTGGCCAATTAGAGATACACAGTCAAAACCTTCGGTCCAATCCTTATAGTAAGGCAGAGTATAACAAATTTACGGACTCGGAGAGTCGAAGGGACGCGCGTACGTGTCGGTGGTGCCCGCACGTACGCGCGCGCATGTTATGCCCAGTATATAGAGACAGAGAGACAGAAAAATAGATAGACAGACAGATAGATAGAGAGACAGTGAAAGATAGAGAATAGATAGAGCGCGCGCGTGAGAGAGAGAGAGAGAGAGATAGACAGAGAGATAGCGTGGAAGGAAGAAAAAGAGAAAAAAGGAGCGTGTGTATTACAAAATATGTGTATCGTACAAAACGACAACGTCGAATCGATCCGTTCGTCCGAGGCAGGGGGGGGGGGGGGGGGGGTGAAAATTTGGACGGTGAAGCGAAAGGGTGCGACTAGCAGCGAACCAAATTCTACAAGAATCGAAAGCGACGTGTCGGCGCGAGGTGTCGTGCATTATCGAAAGACGAATAAAGAAGAGACAGAGAGAGAGAGAAAAAAAAAAGAGATTAGAACGAGGGTACGGAGGGTGATAGATGCATGATGACGTACGAAACGATTCGGATGGCTGAAAAATTTCAAGACTCTTTTTATCCAAAAAAAACGACTACTCGTCGTAGGGGATGATTCTCGTTGACGACGACGACGACGACGACGACGATGCTGATGATGATGATAATTTTGGTCCAATCGGCCGTTCGAGCTAATTTATAAAAAAAATAACGTGGCGCGAGTGCCAATTCGAGCGACGAACAGATTCCTTCTGTTCTTATTCTCCCCACAGAGATGATGCGTGTGGAATGAGGTCGAAGGGGAAGAAGCAGGGTAACGGAAGCTTTGTAACGCGTCGAATGTGTTCTGTTCGCGGTATTGTTCTCGGATTTAAAAAAAATTTTTTTTTTTAAGGTAATTAATGAAAGATCCAATGTAAACCTCGTGCGTCGAGAACAGAGTAGACGTAGGTCGACGGAGGTACACCTTACTATAAGAAATGGATTGGAACGAGTGTGTCTGACGAGGCGAGATCGCGGCTACTTTCTTTAGGTCGGCACGGTGCCGGGGCGTCGAGAGCGTCGCGTCGCGGCCCAACCTTCTCTCGAGCTGGCTCGCTTGGCGGCGCTGTATCGAGACCGGGACTCGAACGACGCTCGAGAAAACTAAGGAGACAAAAACATCGTAAAAACGAATGCATCTAGAGAGTAGTATATATATATATATAGATTGTAAATACAAGAGTATATAAGTGAGTAATAAAGGTGGAGGTTTTGCGAGAAGGCCAAAAGTGAGAGCTCGTAGGCGCGTATAGCATAGCCGAGGGTTGCGCGTACTCGATTATCTCGTGGCAAAAATTTTCGTGCTAGTCGCGTTCTATTTAATTTTCTTCTTTCTTTCTTTTTTTTTTTTCTTCTTTAATCATTTTGAAAAAACGTATCGAATGTATCTGAGAAGCGCTGGGAGAAAATAGCGGGGAAAACGATCATAAAGCTCTAGGTGTGTGTCTGTTTCTGTGTGCGTGTGTGTGTGTCGGTAAGATGCTGAACAACGAGAGAAACACGGTACACTAGAGCAGAATTTTCACGAATTCACGAAGAAAAAGATTAAAACCTTCTTTGCGAGTAAAAAAAGTAAAAAAATCCGAGGCGAATTTGGCGAAATGCTTGGAGCGTCTTCACCCTCGGACGGCGGACCATGGAGAGAGCCCCAATTTTAATATTAATTTAATTCCGTGATACTCTGTATTCTTCTTCCTTTCAAAATTATACATTTAATTTCAAATTAGTATTCCTGTACATGTTTTTTAAATTTGGGTCTCTATTGACCCATACTCCGCTGTTCGAGGGTTAAAGGGTTAAATAATAAAACGACGCGTGCGACAGACATCATACCGACAACAAAGGATCACACGTGTGTATGTATAATCAGGGAAGGTGTATTATGTATAGATGTATACATATAAATGTATACAGAGTGTGTGTACGAATATATATATATATAGATATATATATGTGTAGTATATATAAAAATAGTACAGAATAATAATGATAATGATAATAATAATAATGGATAATGATAATGATAATTATAATCATAATAATAATAATAATGATAATAATAATAATAAGAATAAGAATAATAATTAATAATTTATAAATATGAATCAGTAAAAAATTACTCGTGACTGGTCTGTATGGCCTCCTTGAAGTTAGTACTCCACTTCCAGCCATACTAAAAAATTAATATCATTTTCACTATCTGTAGCCTGTAACCTGCGTTTAGAGGTTTGTTTAGTTAAAAAGGAAAACAGAGACAAATAGAAATATATATATATGTATATATACAAATATATTTCTTTAATTAACAATTAAACAGTTCGTTTCATTTTGGCCGCTGTACAGTGACAGCATAATCATAAATTTTTTTCTTTTTCATTTCTTTTTTTTTTCTCATTAACGTAACCCGCGTCGCTTGCGATTCTCGTAATCTGAACGATAAAAAAAAAGAAATTAGACAACAACGAGTAAAGAAGAGCCGTTTCAGCCGATCGAGCCTCTCGCTTCGCTCGTGTTCTTCGAAAAGACAAGCTAAAGAGAGATCGAGATTAGACGGAGGGGCCGGCCGTTGGGTCGACCGAACGCGGCGACTAACCACGACCATGGGCGTAGTCAGGTTATCAGTCCAGGGATGGGGGCAAAATTAATCATAAGGCAAATTTCATTTTCATTCCACGTCGAATCGCTCGCTTTTGACAGAGGGAGGGGGGGGCGAAATCCAAATTTTCTCCTACGGTAGGGCAAATACCATTTTTCTTCTTCCAGAGCGCGGGGGGGGGGGAGGAGGGGGGGCAAGTGCCCCTGGCTACGCCCATGACCACGACGACGACCACCGCCGGACAAACGGAGAGATCAGCCCTCCTGGTTGTCGCTGGCTCGCGGCCCGACCTGCTGCCAACCGACAAACTCGTCTCTCTCGCGAACGAGAGAGGGAGAGACAGACAAGAGAGAATAACAATGCAAAAATACAGCGACAGAGAGAGAATACAGGGAGCAAAGTATCAAACATTTTTACGAGCTCGTCTCGTATCTCGTCGCGACGCAGATTCATCCTTAAGTTTTCCTTAAGTCACACAAAACTAACACCGATAATGATCTGACAAAACACGGTCGTCGGCACTCGTCGACATCGCGATTGCTTGCGAGGAGGGTTCGCCGTCGGGGGTTGGGGGTTGGAACTGAAGAAATAGAAACAGAGATAGAGAGAGACAGCGATAGATAGATAGAGAAAGATAGAGAGAGAGAAAAAGGACGATTTTTTCACCGGGGAGCGTCGACGACCGAGTTTGGTTTTGTCATACCATGCGTTGCTAAATGTATATAAAAAATATCTATACTATCGGGACACAGCAAACACTGAAAATATTGGTTGTGGGGGGGTTGATCGGGGTGGAGGGGTCCATGTCGCAAAGAGAGACACGAGTTGGAGGAAGTATCTTTAGAGACGCATTCAGGTATTTCTTTATCCGCGGTATCGGGTACGAAGGAAGGCTCGCTCTTCGAACGAGTCGACCCTGTCTCTAAGCCGGTATTCCCGGCAAGGTTTACGTTGGATCTTGTCTACCGAGAACGATAAGGATCGAGAGAAATCGTGTTGGGTACTACGCTCGCGGACCACGGCAATTTTGGCGATAAAACGCGAGGGTCACCGAGATTAGATCCGCAACCGGTTGCCGCAGAAAGCGAGCAAAATGGCAAGCGTTTGAAAACGAAATCTGATTTTAGCACGCGAGACAGAGATCGTGGAAGATAAATTGTACTTTCGCCGAAAGTCACGTGAATGCACGCACAGTGACACACGTGTGCTGGTACATTTCAACGTGGACGGAATATATTTATAAAATCAGTACGATCAGAGTCTATGTATACAAATGTATAATAATAAATACGTGTGTGTGTGTGTAGACAAAATTCTACGTCACTCGTGGCATGCGCTTTTTAGCATTTAACAGGGATTACGAAGGGGGAGTTAAGCGTTTGGTCAGACTCGATGTACGTGGGTCGCTGCAACAATACCAAAAAATCGTTTTACTCGGTTCATTGGCCAATACCTACGTAAGCGATGGATCGGACCGTTTCACGCGGCTCTTTGCGTTTGCTAGAAAGACGACCCGATAGGAGGTGCCGACTGTGCTCGTCGGAGCCTCGAAGGATCCTCGAAGATTCTTGCATCCCGAATAAAATTAATTCTCGCGTAGATCGAACGCTTCTCTTTTCATTTTTCTTCCTTCTCGGAAGGGGGGGGGGGGGGCATAGGGTATTCAAAGCGCGACAAACTAGATCGGGGGTTGGTGCGGTCCGGGTACCAGGGGGGACTTCATGCAGGGAAGGGTAGATCGGATTGGGGGTGGGTGTCGAATAGAATCGGAGAACGGATAAATAAATCGGCGGATGGATAAATCGATAGACAGACGAGAGAGAAGAAAGAGATAGAGAATTTGATAGAGAGAGAGAGAGAGAGAGAAACTGAAATGGAAATGAAACAAAAGACAGCGGCGAGCGAGCGAGCGGGGCTATTGAAGCGTTACCTTGGAATGTTGAGCGGAAGTGGGTGTTATCGGCGGTGTCTCCTCGGCGTCTACGCTCGTCGCTGCGTTTGGTAATCGCTGCTCTTGCACCGACGCCAAGCTGGGTAACACAGAAACGGCGTTTCCACGTTTAACAAGAATAGTCCTCGCGAAAAATGGGGACCGTTTTCTACTTACCGTTTGAGCGTCACGAGGGTACTGGTGAGCTTTTTGCAACGCTTCAACGCTGACTCCAGTCGTTCGGGTTCTTCCTTCAGGAACTTTTCCGCTCGTACGACCATCTCCATTTCCGAGCTCAGCAGACCCTTCATTCCCTCTTGTAGACTCGGAAATCGTACCTTCAGATCGGCTACCGTTTTGCTGAAACGGGACAAACTTTCCCTGTGTTTATTTGGTTGAGGATTTTTCAAGATTTTTATGATTTTTACTTTGATTTCTCTTTCACCTCGATTTGCTCATTATCAACGCCATGTTCTCCACGTCCGACATGTTTACCCTCGTCTTCCTGTTTATGACGTTGCCACGCAATTCCTCCACCGTGTTTTCCAGCTCGCTGAAATCGTTTCACTCTATGATCATTCATTCCTGTGGAATGGAGAGGAAAGATTCGGTACACTTACGTCAGATCTTTTACCAGCCTCAGCATTTCCTGCCTGTAGAGGTCTTCCTCGCGGCTCAGTCGAATCTTTTCCGCGTCCCAGGCTGCGTCTCCGCATGACAGTAACATAGCCCTGAAACGGACACCAATTAGAGACAGAAAAATTGTTATAATTTTCTAATAGAGGAGTAAGAAAAATTATTCTCATACGTGATAACACGGTAAACTCTCGCTATATTGCCGGTTATGCTTAGAAAAATTCTTGGAATTGGCAATATAGAAAGAGCGCCTTAAATGTAGCTCTTCATCGTTGAAACGTGTAAAGGGAAACTTGCTCAATTGGCAATATAGAGAGTGGCTATATAAGGAGAGTTTATTGAAAATCGAAATAATTATATTTAATTATTTAACCCTTGGTCAATCGAGACCCAAACTTATGAAACATTGAAATGAAATAAAAATTGTGGCTCTCTCCATGGTCCGCCGCCCCAAGGCTTTCTCCCTGGTCCGTCCTCTTGGGGCGGAGGGCCTCTCCATGGTCCGCCGCCCGATGGTTACGAAACCCATTATAATTATAAGGGTCATCTGTACCCTTTTGTACCGTTACCCTATTTTTATTTCTAAATTCCCTTTTATTTAACGCACACACCTGATCGTGATGAACGTGTCCAGAATGGTCTCCCGTATGGTGTGCGCCTGTGCCTGAGACATGCGCCGCAGGTTTCGTACCTCCTGCCTGAGATCCTTCGCCTTCTTCTGCAAGCCTCGCAGCTGATTGTACATTTCCGGCGTGAGAGCCAAGTCCCGATAAACGTATTGACCGGCGACTAGGGCCGCTGGTTTCGGCGGCGGAGTCGGCTTATGCCTGTCCCTCTCTGAAACCATTCGATCCAGCCTGGATAAGAACCGCCCCCTGTTTCGCGATGGGGAAAAAAAGCGTCGCCATTTCCGCCCGTTAATCAGTGCGAAAAATCGTCCGACTCGATTATCCATTGGACACTCGGTCCGTTACCCAGGGACGCGACTGCTGGGTGAACCAGAGCCCCGAGGGAACGGGAAAGGGGACGATGATTGGACGATTCGAAAGGAACGTCGCGCTTCGTTGAAAACACGCGGATATGCAAACTCGTATCCTTGAACGGATCTCGTTCCGTTGACCGAGCGAATTTCACGGTCGACGCCACTCGGTCGCTCGGTGCTACTCCATGCGACGCCTTTCGCACGATCAAAGGGCGGGGGCGGTGAATGTGCAGGATGTACGATTTGTTTCTCGAGTTATTGGTTGAATGAACGAGACACGGTTAGGGAAATGTTCGAGGATCGAACAGAAAATGGTGAAAATCGCGGACCAAAAACCGAACGAAACAAACGGAAGGGAGGAGGAAACGGAAGGTGAATGACGGCGACAACACATATGGAACGAGGAAGCTTAAAAAATAACACTGAGACAGCTTTACCTTGCGAAGACATCCTCGGCAACGTGGAGGATTTGATCGCCGGTTTCGTTGGTTTTGTATCCGCTAGTAGTGGAAGGCATTGCACGAGAAGTCGTTAGAGATTATTGCGTTAGTATCAACTATCAGAGTTTATTCTTTCCCCGTTCGGACACGCTTAAAATAGTGGGCTGTTCGAGACACGATGGAGGCTAATTACATATTATAATCAGAAAGAATTAATTAATATACTTGTAGATGGAAAGAGCAATTGGTTGAAATGTCCCATCGTGTCTCCGAGGATAGTGTGCTTAAAAGAAAACGGCAATAGTAGCGGTTAGCGGGTACCCGAGTCTCGGGTCGGGTAGGGAGAAACCCGAAAATTCGTCCAGTTCCGGACCTCGGTATTAACTCGGGAATAAAAATCCGATTCGGGTACCCGAACCTCATCTCGGGTACTCGAATATCAACTCGGGACCGAAAACTTCAATTCGGGTACCCGAACATCATCTCGGGTTTCAAAAATCAATTTGGGAGCCAAAACTTAATTCGGATACCCGAATATAAAATTTGAAACCAAAATTCAATTCGGGTACCCGAATATCAACTTGGAACCCGCGACTCAATTCAAGTACCCGAATATAAAATTTGAAACCAAAATTCAATTCGGGTACCCGAATATCAACTCGGAACCCGGGACTCAATTCGAGTACCCGAATATAAAATTTGAAACCAAAATTCAATTCGGGTACCCGAATATCAACTCGGAACCCGGGACTCAATTCGAGTACCCGAATATAAAATTTGAAACCAAAATTCAATTCGGGTACCCGAATATCAACTCGGAACCCGGGACTCAATTCGAGTACCCGAATATAAAATTTGAAACCAAAATTCAATTCGGGTACCCGAATATCAACTCGGAACCCGGGACTCAATTACCCGAATAAATTTATATGCTGGATTTCCCAAATCCTACCCGACATACCCGACCCGAATTCTCGGGTACCCGTACATTGAAAATCGATAATAAAAATGTGCGATCGTAACCATTACCTGCGTGCTGCGGGGAATGCTGTTTAGGAGAGTTCATGTCTGGCGGGTCGTCGCTGAATGACACTGACTTTTCGAAGGACACCGACTTGTCTGTAATAGAGGGTTGATCAGCGATATTTTATCTCCTTCGTGCCTGTACTTTTTCATAGGGATAGCGAAACAGCGTGCGCGCGTAAACGAAGAGAATGGTGCAAAGAAGGTAGCGTTCGGTGCGACACAAGTGGAGAAATAGTGTAGAATGTGCGCCGGAAGCTCGAAATGAAATTCCGCGACTCGAAGGAATAGCGAAAGAAAGAGAAAAAACCGAGAGGGTATTTAGGAAGATCTTAGATTGCCTGAAAGCGCAAAGGGGGAGGTAATTAAAGGTGATTTTCACGCGATAATCGGGCTTCTTTAGAGAATCGTGCTTGAACGGTGTGCAAAGACGAGAAATTAGGCGAAACAAAGATGCGGGGGAGGATCGAGAATGAGGTATTGTGCGGTACTACTTGGAGAACGGTAAACGTAAAAATGCAACGATGCATGCGCTGGTTGCAGCACGTGTAACATGAGATAAAACAATTTGTTTGCGAACCGCACCTTTGCCTAATTTCGGTGGTTTTACGTCAGTCCTTAAGTACGAGTCATCTGTAACGGCAGGTTGAGACACTTGAATTTTACAAAGGAGAACCGTTTTAATCACACTGGTTATACGTAGGGCACTATTATAAAATGTATACAATAACGTATCAGTATAATATAATATCTTAATTACGTATACAGGCGGTTACAGTGATTCGAAGGAAAAATAGAAGATAGAAGAAGATGAAGAGACACACCTGGCAATGAGGCAGAGCTGGAGCTAGAGTGTTTGTCGAACTCGTCCCCGGCGCCTGGTGTGTGCGTCAAATCGGAATAACAAAGCAGTTGTACAGCAGGGTATCAGGAAACTTTGAACCGCTTTACTTATACCCCGGCGATGGTTCAACGCCTTTTTAATCGAACGGCTCGGGAAAATCTCGCACCATCGCCAGCGTGTAAGTCGCGGCATGAAACGTATGTACGTTTGCTACGTTAACACATAATCGGCTAGCTCGAACGGAGCAGAAGATGCGTTCCCGACTGGTCCGTTCGAGACGAATCGAGATCGAAATTTTCTAAAAGAGAACGAAAGAAAAACCGAGACGCGAGGAAACGTACGAAGAAAGCGAGGGGTTGGTACCAACATTCACGCAGAAAGAACGGGACATAGGCGGTAAAGCGTCGCAGAATGAAATCTCTTCAACGAAACGAGCTAACGCTTCTAACTGAGTCGAAATGCGACGAAAGATCGAATGGAAAATAAATGCGAAGGGATTCGTTTCGACGATTATTCTCGTCCTTTCCTTCTGATCGTTCACGCAGACACTCGCCCAGCCATTTACCCTATCGTCGAAACGAATCGAAGGCGGAAACTGAAGAGAAATTGAGAAAATAAGATGAGGTTCAGGGGGTCGACGGCGGGCGGAAAGAAAAACTACGCGCGGAAACCAAGGGATAGAATCTGTTTCGCAGTGAAGAGAGAAACCGTTGATAGCGCGTCTAACGTGAAAATAGTAGAGACGTTTCGATAGTTATGGCCGAGAGGCGATATAAAAGGAGAACGTACCTGGTCCTCTCGCGTATGGGTCGCGTCCCGCAGGAACCTGCAAGTAATCTCGCGGCGATGGACTGGTGTGCGGCGCGTGGGTCAGAGCCTTCTGCACCAGTCCCGTCAGGTTAGCCAGCTGTCTCTCCATGTGTTCTACTCTTATCCTAGAGCAACGAATCGGCGACAAGTTAGAACGAAAACGGTACTTTCCGTAAATCGAAGATGGAACTAAATAAAGTCTAGTTCTAATGAAAATCAAAAGCGTCTTTCAAGAAGCATTCCATAGGATGCATCTAGGGGTGGTCGGGTACCCGAAAATTACCCGACCCGAGACTCGGGTACCCGGGCATCCCCAGATACATCTTGTCCATATACAGTCTTGATCCGAAATAAGCAAGTGTTTTCTCCGGGCTCGAAATAAGTAACTCGCAATCCCCTTTTGTTTCTTTGAAATCGGCCGCAGAGCGAGAGATCCGAGGAGAAGTAAGAAGTAACTTGATACCAAAATGAGAAGGCATAATACATTCCATCCTTGTTCAAAGCGAGCCGCGATCGCTTTATAGTTTGCCGCTACCTCGGCCCGCTACCTCGGCCCAGAACAAAGCCAAGCCGAATAGTATACCTGATCCGTAATAAGCAACTGGCCGGTCCCGAACGACTTGCATTCATTTCGGCACGAAACTGTAATCGGAAACGATAACACGACCACGAGGACGACAAAGTTTCCGACAGGATGCCATGATATTCAATTACGAATATATACATAAAAGCGCTCGATACACATTCTCTCTACGATCGCTAATCGGCATGCTTACATTCCATCGTTTTACATATCCACGTCCGCACACAGAGGGTGTAGCTACGAACGGTCGGACAAGTTTTCGAACGCAACACGAGACGACCCGACCCGACCCGACGCGATGCGGTGTATCGACTCGACAGGTAACTCGATTCCCGGCAATTCCAATATCGAACGCAACCTACCTGCATGCCTCGATGCGTACTATACATGCACTGAACGAACGACGCTCGGTTCCGGGGAGAGTTTTTCGTCCGGTCGGTAAGGAAGATATAAATGGCCGTCTCGAGAGGCGAACGAGCCCACCCTAGGGTCAACGGAATCGACGGGAACGTCGATCGATCAACTCGAATAGATGCGCCGTATTTATCGTGGCACATTATCGTCCACTCGCAGCCATCGAGCGTATAAATAACCGACAGGGCGAAAGGGTTGAACCCGAGAGAAGCCAGCGTGATTTTTCACTTTCTTTCGCGATCCTCCCCGTAAACGACGCCTCGGTTCGTGAATTCTACCAACGACCACACACGCATTCACAAGCGCATTCGTGTGACGGATCGAGCGATAAGACGGTCTCGGTATACCGCGGTTCTATCGCGAATTGTAAAGAGAAAAATAAGAGGAAGAAATAGTAGTAGTAGTAGTAGTAGTAGAAGAAGCGAAGAGAAGAGGGTAGTCAGTACCGAGTAGCGTCGTAGCTCTGACCACCGGGTGGCAAAGGTGGTGGCGCCCCTGGAGGAAACGGGGATCGCGGTGGACCGGACGGCGGACGGCCTGGCGGTTTCACACCGTATAGGCTGTACGATTCCTCCAACAGCTCCGTATCGCTGCACCACCCACAACAGAGACATACGTATCCGCGCTATCAGCCATCCACGAAATTGACGCGAGTCTTTTCTTTCAAACTGGTCGCAATATCGATGAACCATGGGTGCGCGCGCGTCGATGATAACGTCCGGGGGGGAAAAAAAAGAGAGAACGAGTCCGTCGTTGAACTCTGATTACCTGGCTTCCTCGTCGATGACCGGCGTGACGGTCCCCGAGTATTGCGAGTAGTAAGGATCCTCGTAGCTGCTCCCGGCGCTGTACGGTCCAGGCGGGTATCTTCCGGTCCCGGAGCCAACTCCTCCCCCCCTTTCGGGACTGCTCATGTAGCCGCTCTCGCCGTGCAATCGATCTGCGGAATCGCAAGCGTTAGAGACGTTGGACGGGTCCAACGACCGCCTACCAAGCGGGCGCGCACAATTTCCCGAGGGTGTCGAGCGACAAAGCGACTCTAGAGATTGCGAATGCTTTTTTTTTTTTTTTGTATTTTTCGAGCGTGCTTTACGGGACATTGAAAGAGTTCTACGAGTTTTCCGGTGACAATGGGAGGAGCGGACACGACCAACGTACCAGGAACGACCACGATGCTCTACCGATAGTCTCGGAAACGGGGAAGGTTTAAGTGTACGTTGTTGCAAATGGTACTTCGAAGGGGTCGCGCGTCTCGTTCGACCGAACAATTTTCTCTCTTCTTTGGCCAATCGTTTCCCATAGCCTTCGTACATCGACCAAACCGCCTGCCCCGTACTCAAACTCTTTGAGCGTCCCTGGGCATCACAATGCGTCTGCCCGACAGCTCGCGATCGCGATCAGACTGGCGGAAGGATTCGAGCTTTCCGGGATTTACTTAAGGATTACTACTGACCTGCTATACTATAGAGGGAGACCGAACTGTCTCTAGAGAAGCGTGCCGAGCCCCCGAGACTTCCAAGGGGACTCTTACCACACTGGTAGCTGCGAAGCGGCTTGGCCGGCGGCACCCCGCCACCACCTATCCAACCATCCGGAAAACCAAACAAAAACCAATGTACCCAGCCTGCGACGCGTTTCTCCCCGAGCATATCCAACGTTCTTTGCTAAGCAGCGCGGTAAAAGTGCACGAAAGAATCGCGCGAATAGATCTCGGTTCCACTAATGGACACCTCCTAAGAGGTTACCTTCTGTCGGTAATCGTGCACTCTTCCGTCGCGTCGTAGCAAAGACCCGGTGAAACATTTCCACCCTTCTCCGATCACGGTCCTTCTATGATCGCCGATCGAACGAACACGGACACGGAAACGGAGGTGAAGACAGAGAGATAGAGAGCGATATACAGACTAGGAGACCGAGTGAACAGACAGTACAGGCAAGGATCGAGCGTGCTACCGATCGCAATGAGTTATACAGAGGCATGGACGGTTTAGCCGCGTTCAAGCAAGAGCAGAGGTCAGAAATTCAGGATACGCGGGTACCCGAGTAGTCGGGTCGGGTAAAGTCGAACGGGTACCCGAGACGTACGAACCCTCGGGGTACTAGACTTTTTCAAACTGGTCCGATTGTGTCGGGTACCCGACCCTACCCGAGTACGAAATTTCGGTTACCCGTCAGCCCTAATGGACAGCCATGCAATGCTTGCGGATCGGGATTGCCAGCGAGTAGGGAAGCGTCGACGATCGCAGAGCGTGCGAGAACGAAGGAAGCGGGCTAAGGAGATCTGGTGTGTCTCGAGAGAAGCGGGTAGTTTCTCGAGACGATTCTTTAGTTGGATTAGAGCGTGGCGCAAGGTTAGACACGCATACAGTCAAGGCTGCAACGGATTGTTCTAACGGCGATTCCCGAAACGACGAGGACCACCCCCCTTGATTTAGGATAATCGAACGATCCGAAGGGTTCCGAGGATTTTCGTGTACCTGGAGTCGTCAGAGGTTTAGGCTGCGTTGGGGTGGAACTCGGTCCGACCACCGACGACGCCGCGGGACTATACGCTCTCATCACCGGTCCTCCTCGCGGCAGGGTGCTGCTCCCCCCGACGTAGTAGCCGCTGCTCCCGGAAGTCGAGTTCTTCGCCGTCTGAAAGCAGAAATATTTACAATGTAATTTACGAGCTTCGCTTTTTTTTTTTGTTATCTTGCAGAAGACAATCCCGTTCGAGCACGTATGTCGAAATCCGAAACGATACCCGTTTAAAAGGATAAGGGAGGGGGATTAGATGTTATCCTCAGCGCCGTAAAGAACAAACAGCGTGGAAGATTGATGGACAAATTATGCAACGTTCTTGATAAAGAAGTAGCGGTATGTTCAAATATGGAAAAAAGGGGGGATCGAGAAACCATTGGTAGAAAGTATAATCGGGTAAACACGGTTAATAACTGCACGGTTTCGCGAGGTTTTGGATTTCCTTGAATTTCAACTTCTCTCTCGAGAGAAAACGAAAGGTTTCATGGTAATGAAAATGATATACATCGAGGTTTTCATTTTCGTTTTACCGCGGACGCGCAACGATGAACCGACTTTACGATTCATAAACAAGCGGCAATTTTCCCATTCGACTCGGACAACGATACGGATTTGTCGCGTTCGTAACCGGGCCGCCTACGAGGATTCACAATTACATGAAATGGTTTGTCGGATTACGAGTATTTCAACTTTCCTTTCAGAAAAATCGCTGTTGTTCTTTACGGATTAGATTATCTTCGCGCTTTCGAAAATCTTCCCTCATAAATAAACTCGCTCTCGCTTTTTATAATTCATAAATATGTAGCCTAACCGCGCTGTCTCGAATGGCAATTGCTATACGAGTGCGAAAACTCGAGAATATCGAGTCGGGTAGAAATTCTTCCGGGTCGACACGGGTACCCGAAATTTTCAGACTCCCCCACATCCCTCCTAATCGCAGCAGACCCTCGCCACGCAGGTGCTGCGTGAATGCAAAGCGGCATGAAGCTCGCGTGATCCGCGCAGCGTTTAGCTGCGTTTCCGGAAATGGTACCGTTCAGGAAGGAAGGAAGGAAGGTGGAAATGAGAGAGGGGATGCGGGTTCGAGCTGAACAAGCAAACGGTTCGCCAAGTGGTATCAGGGGCAAGGTCCTCCTCCCTCTTCCTCGTTCAAGTTGCTCGCGGAGCTCACCTCGCCGGCTTCGCCATCGGCTGTGCTTAGTGTTGTTTACTCGCGCGGACTGTTCGCTACACTGGCTCTCGTCGGACACACAAGCAACGGGATAATTTTCGCAATTACCTGATTGACTGCGAAAAGCGAAGAAAGCAGGCCTGGAGCGCAACAGGAAGCGATTACGAATAAAGAGCGCAAACAGAAGAATACAAACTAAAGGAGGAAAGAACCACAATGAAAATGTCAAGAAATAATTTTCTACTTCTGCTCCTCGGCCTGGCGATTTGTCCCTGTTCCGGAGGGCAGAAGCAACGCGAGACGCCGATGCACAAAGCGCAGCTCACTCAGAAGGGGTACATCCAGGTGAGAAAGTTACCGCGTTCGCAAAAAGAATAATAGTTCGGCCCTCGGGGAAGTCCTTGAAGCGGATTCGTAACCGACCCACCAACGAACGTCCACCTACTTTCCAATCGATTTACGCGAAATCGCGAGTATTAGCCATCGCCCTTATAAGACATCGATCGAGGCGAGGCTAAATTCGTCGAACGGAATGCCGCGATCGTTAACTAGGATCGATGACTTTTCCAGTTCCTCAGATGGCAGCTACCAGTGCCACGGATCACCGAGTTCACCTTCTGCCTATGGATCCAGTCCGACGACCTCACTCACCCTCACTCCATATTCTCCTACTCGAGTAAGTTCATCGGTAAAACAAACATATTTCTCGGCAATATCGCCGTAATCTCCTCCTCTTCGACAGAAAACGAACGCGAGCGATTGGTCCGCGCCTGGATATCCCCTCGGGGGAGGAGCGTCCATCTGGAGATCGGAGGGAAACAGGTGATCGCGTCGACGACCGAGATCCACGAGAATCGCTGGTACCACCTGTGTCTCAGCTGGGAAAATCAGGTCGGCCTGTACGGTTTGTGGATCAACGGGCAACTGTGGGCTCGGGGCCAATCGGAGGAGGTGGGTACACACGGGGACAGGCGTCCGATCGAGTGACGCTACGAGGAATGTACGATTTCAGACGGCGGGTCACGCGATACCCAGCGGAGGCGACATTGTACTGGGACAGGAGTACACGGACTTTGATAAGGGACTGGAGGAAGGGGTCGAGGGTTCGGTTCTGGGCTTCAACCTTCTACTGGCCTCGGCTTTCGATCCTCTGGCGAGGGATTACCAGCATCGGGAAGCCTCCTCCTCATCGAGTTACGCCAACGCGCCCCTTTTCGCGCGGATTCCTGTGAAGTTGCCGCAACCCGGCTTCGATTACGCAGCGCGGACCTTGCCGGTCTCCAACCAACCGCGGGCTCGTCGATACGCCGACAGTTTTCAGCTGCCGCTGACGAATCGCACCGCAGGCTACAAAGACAAAGTTATCGGCTCGAACAAAGAGCCTCTCGGCTTGCAATTAGTGAAACTGTCGTACGTTCGCTGCGAGATCGGCAGAGGAAGCCCGTTCATTGGCGGCCATCTGATGCTTATCTCCTGGAGCAGGACACCCGTCCGCGTGTTCGGCGGGGCGATCCTGAAGAACGTGAAAAGCGAGTGCGGGAATTTTTGAGCAATCAACTCATTCGACGAAAACGGAGAAACCGTAAAAGTCAAACTGGACTGTCGCTCGATCTCGGTTTCCGTTAAGATCCAGTTCGAAACGTGACCAAACTCGTCCGATCCTAACCCAGCCGGTTATCCGGTGAAATTTCAACCCATTACATTTTCACTGCGAACGATGTAACGCGTTTTAGAGATCGATCTCGCTGGATAACTATTAGATAACGTTACGTTAGCCGTAATTTGTCGAGGATAAAAAAGGGAACGCGGCAGTCTGCATTGTTCGTCCGAGGTGAAATACTAGCACCGCGTGCAACAGCTTGCCGCAATCTCGGAAAAACTCGGGAGAGAAGAAACGCGCGACGTTACAAAACCGAGGACAGATCGATATCTAGGCGAGGCTAAGCCGAGGCAAAAAAAGGTCGCGCGAGCACCCTTTTACGCAAAAGGACGCGACTCGGTTTCCTTCAGACAGCGATATTTCGGCTTTCTTTCCGCGATCATTTCGTAATCGTCGCCGCTTTTCTGCATCCGCGAATCCGTGTAGGGCGAAGGCGCGCGGGTCTCTCTCCGCGGTCCGCGCTTTCGAAAACAGCGATCCCGCGTCGCAAATGGCGCGAATCGCTATGGGACACGGATTATTACGCAAATGGCGTTGATTACCCATGTCGGGCCCTAAAGGTGCTCCCGTTACAACCTACCAACGTTACGTGCTACAGATGCGTCGTTACGCAACCTGCCGAGGGGAACGTGATTCGTCCCGAAAGGAACGCATGGAAAACTTTCACCCGAGAATAACTCTCAAGGCGAGGGGATTACGAGATCGAACGGTACCGATCGCGCAGGGCATACCTTGAACGAGTTCCGTCGCGAATTTCGACCGTGAAATCTGGTCCGCGCGGAAGCTGCCGGCGGAAAACACGAATCGCGCGACCGGTCCCAAGGATCTACCGACCGGTTTCTCGATCCATCGCAAAGGAAATGAGCTTTGCTTTCGCCCTCTGGTCCTGAACGTTCATCAAATCGCTTTCACTTTCACCAAAAATCGACTGCTTTACGAGACGGATTCTCGGCCCTGCTCGGACGGTCTCGCTCGCGTAATCCGACTGACGTTGCGCACCGTGTTCCTGTTCGAGTGGTTTATGTATTCTTACATGACATAATAAAGATATATCTGTTGATTGGTATACGCATTTTGAAACATTATTTCCTTTCCTATTCATTACTTTTACGGCCACGGACGGATTGGTTATGGGGAGGATTTGGGACCTAATTAACACTTGGGTCATGTACATTGAAAATTATACAAAAAATTAAATAAATATTAATTTCTAGCTATAGCACACCTTTGTTAAATGTAAACCGTATAGATTAAATAAATTAAAATTAAAATAAGAAATTTGAAATCAGTCATTTTGATTGGTTTGGTTAATTAGTGTTAATTAAAATTGGGGCCAAAATTGAACCCAATCTTCCGGAAGAAAATTGAAGTCCCAGTTGGTCCACGTTTACGGCTGTTAGATTTGTTAAAAGGAGATCGACGGAAAACCGATACCGTCCGCGAAGCCTCGATTTACATAACCGCGAGAAGGATTGCACAACGCAGAAAAGTCGAAAGGATCCTTTGGCAGGCCGTATCTGGGTTAAAAACGAACGGCGCCTGCCTTCGGCCACTGCCAACGATCGGTTTTAACGAAACGATTAGCGGCAACGAGTTAGCCTAAATGAATGAACGCATAGCGTCTCCGGTGATTAAGACCGCCTTCCGCATTAGGAACGGAACAATTAGAGGCGGTAATCTGCCGGCATTCCTCGAGACAACGCGTTGTTTTCTCGTTGGCCGTCAATCGAGGAGGCGGCTTTTTTCGAGGCCGAGCCGTCGCAATCGAACTTTCATTTTCCAGGGCCTCGTTTCCTTCCTTCCTTCCGGTCTTCTATGGAGAAAGGAGACGCGAGAAGGGAGGTTGGATAGGTGCATTTTTTCGGACAAGGCAAACGTCTCGTTCCTTCGCTAACTTTTCCCCACCGCTTTGGATGCTGACCATGGTATCCGTTTACTTTCTTCTCTCGAATGTCCGAGACTTTCGGTGTTACATCCGCGACTAGGTACAGTAGGTAAAGGATGTAGCAGGTGATTATTTAAGAGCTTCTGTTTAGATTACTGTTATGGAGTAAATGAATTTTTTATATCAGGCAGAAAGAGAGGTGTTAAAATTAAGGAAACTGAGAGATTATTATTTTTGTTAAATTTTCTATCAAAAGGGTTAATCCCGTTTATTAACAAATAAATAAATAAATAAAATAAAAGATAGAAAATTTCGGGTAATTAAATTACCTTAGGGATAACAGCATAATATTTTTACCCCAGGGTCTGGAATATCGGGTACCCGAATTTTCAGGTACTTTCTGATACACGAAGAAATTCAAAGTGGTCAATTTCTCCTTTACCCAATACTTTTCTCCCCAGACTCTTCGAGGAACGAGAGTCTCGACATCGACCCTTCGAGGTCCATCCTCTGGGTCATAGTTCCCGATCCCCTTTCCATTCGATCACGAACCGCGGCGAAACCCGAGCGAGCATTCGCTCCAATTTTCTCTCCGTTTGGAATTCAACAAACGAACACGGTCGAACGAGTGGAACGACAAGTACCCTTCTAATTTCCTATCGTACGTAGACACGAGGGGGGAAGGAATTGCCACACACACCGGTCGCTCGATCCGGAACGAGGCTGTTCCGAAAAGGATCACCGGAGAGCCCGAGGTCGCGAGCCGAAATCTCTGGATATCCGAGCAAGATCTCGCGGTCAGAATGTCGCAATTTATTCTGAACCAACCGTCTATTCGCGTCACGAACACTTTTTACGAGGCTGGACCGCTTTCGCGAGCGGGGAAAACGCGTAGCGTCGATGATCGGTAAGTCACAAGGCAAATAGCACGCGCTTTCGCGTTTAATTATCCTTCGGACAGTTACCCGGCCGCTCACTCGCTTCATCGATTACGCGAGTTAAACGAGTTTCTCGAGCCAGGCATTTCCGATCGAACTGGATCAACGGTCGAGGTCTGCGAGGAATATCGATAGCGAGGTGGGAAGAAAAAAGGCTGTGTCGAATCCGTGGAACGATTCGAAGGAAAAATTGGAGCGATACCGAGAGTGACCCAGAAAATCGTCGGAGGAAGGTGTACAGGGAGCGGGGCAGGGCGTGCGCGCATCCTGTAGCACGCGGCGGATCGTAGGATGTCCGAGGCTGGAAGTTGAGAAAAGGAGAGAGAAAAAGGCGAATCAAAGCGGGTAGGAGGTGTGCACCACCTCTTACGAGCTTACCAGGCCTACGCCGAGCAGAACGACCGGACAGTTACCTTTCTGTTTCGAGACTGCGAGCATCTACCTCCCTCTATCGCGTCGTCCGCTGGTTATTCGGCTTCGCGCGATACCAAAGAACGTCTTTCAAAGCTTCATTCGGTCGATCAATATCATACGACGTATCCACGGTAAAGGACATCGAAGTCGACGACTTACTACGGATCGTTGCCGATTTCGCGATCGTTCGCGTGCACCAGGTGAGATTCGCGCACGGAGAAACCGATGTGTATCGTTTCCACTCGCGATATCGTTCCGCCGCGGTGAATTAAATTACGCAATTAGAACCGTGCAGCGGAACAAAGTAACCATCGAATTTAGCCAGCGTTTCCTTCATCTTTTCGCCCTTTCAGGATAATCGAAGGGGTTGCAAGAGAGGGAGGTTTCCTCGACGAGATGACCGCGATTGTTCTATTGCTTTGTGGATTCGCGTGGGCGGCGCAGGGTATATCCACGTCCTGGCGACCGTCGTTTCCGGTCTCCGTGAGCAACGTTCATCCTCAGACGTCGGGCGTGTTCGGGGGATACGACCCGGAAGCGGACAAGTGCACCCTGTACAAAGTTTCCATGAATCAGGAGCTCTACTTCGAGGTACGTTCGCGGCACGCAGGAAGCTTTTCACGGTCGAGGGATTACGAGTGAAATGACACGAATCGCGGCGACGAAAGTAGGAGAAAACGACGGCGGCACGCGAGTTTTCCATCGGTTCCTCTAGCGATCAAGGTTAACCGTCGAGCGGAATACGAGCCGAGATCGAACCGCGATCGATTCCGCGTTGCGCAACTCCGTGTCGTCCTAGGAAGAATCACGGCAAAGACCTTGTTCCGCCGAGGCAAAATCTGTCGAAAGTCGCGCGTGAAACTCGCCAGCCGTTCTTACGTAAATCGATAATCACGGCGAGCTGGTTTCTTGTCGAAACGAAACGACAAATATTAGAAGGGAAACAAGCGAACTGGTTTTCCGATCGATATCAAATAACTCGATTTGTCTGTCGTTCCCCGCAGTACATCCAGTACAAGACCGAGCTGCCGGACATGAAGGAGTTCACCCTGTGCATGTGGAGTAGGTTCCACAACCACAGCAACGACCATCCTCTGTTTTCGTACGCAGGTGAGCAACGCTGCTTCTCTTTCCTTTCACCTTTCCTCTTCCCTTTGTTTTTTTTTTCCCTTTTGCACCGTGTGCGAGAAAGCGAAAGTCCCGTTCACAGTGCTTTCCGAACGCGTTTTCTGCTTTATCACCACCTCGAGGTGCTCGGAACACGACTATCGCCGGGGGATCGCTCCTGCGAAATCCCCGGAACGAGTTTCGCAAGTCCACCTCGAGGCGAAGCCTTCTCCCGAATCGCACGCAAATATTCCACGCGATTACGCAATCGTCGTTCAATTATCCTCCCCCACCTCCTTGGAGCCGTTTATCGATCGACGGGATCTCGAAGATTAGCGACTCGTTTTTCTTCAAGTGGGGGATCAACCGCGAGGAATATTATCCTGGGTGGCGAACACCGCCAGGAGCTCCTACTTCATGATGAACGTGAACGGGCACAACTTGTACAGATTGAATTATCCGCTCCGATTGAACAAGTGGTACCACTCCTGCCAAAGCTGGAACGGCCGTACCGGCGAATGGCAGATCTGGGTCAACGACGAGCGCGTGGGTCGAGGGTTCAACAACAGGGTGAGTTCGGGCTCCGAGGTACTTTTCAACATTCCGCGATCCGAGTGTTGGAAAACCGCGAGAGTCGACGCTTTCTCGATAAACATTGTCGCCACGCCTCGGAATCGTCCTCGAAAGCCGAGTAGAAAGCGATCTTTTCGAGTCGGACGATTCGAACGCGATCTCCCTGGATCCGTTTGCGTAACCCTTTCCTCTATTCGCATGCCGTCTTCCGCGATGCAAATCGCGTTTGGAATTCGACGAGATGACTGACTTTTCCGGAACTTTTGGCACGCAGAGCACGCTCGTTATTCGTCCTCTCTCTTTCTTACTCTGGTTAGCCTATTTCGTGCCGTGAAAGTCGACGCGTCCTAGATTGCCGCGATTTTTCCGCGCGCTTTTCCCTCCCGACGGAATTCACCTTCGCGTTTCTGGGATGAGCGCGATTCGCGGTGAAAGCGATTTTGCGTGTCAAATGAAACGAGGCTTCTTTATATTCATATAATACTTTCGTGTTTGCTTGGAACGCGTCAGCTGGTCGGACACGTGATTAAAGGCGGTGGGATTGCGATCACGGGACAGGAGCAGCGACAACTGGGCGGCGGCTTCTTGGAGGGAGAAGGAGCGCCTACGGGTAAGTGTACGGGTACCCGAGAATTCGGATTGGATTTGGGTCGAGAATTTTTGTCGAATATAGGTGGAACTTTGAAGGTTTCTTTCTTATTCGGGTACCCGAATATCGAGGCAGGAGATGAAACTCAATATCAAGTAGAAACCTAAAACGCGATTCGTATAATCGAATATCAACTCGGGATTAGAAACTCAATTCAGATATTTGAATAAATTTAACTTATGGGGTTCCACAGGACCCGACCCGAATCCCGGGAACCCGGACTTTCTCCACTTTTCTCCGCGATTTATATTACTTGAGATCGTGTCTAGGTTCCGGAGGTCTTTTGGGAGAGATAACTATGGTGCAACTATACGAGGTAGCGTTGACAGCAGGAAAGGCACATAAAGATCACAAACACCACCATGCCCATCATTATGAGCACGAGACCGGAAACAACACCCCAAGGCCCATACGACCCCCTGTAACTGGTCCCCCTCTTCCACAGAATCCCTATCTAACCGGGGGACAAATTAACCATCAGGTAAGCTGCTGGAAACCTTGCTAATGAATAAAGAATTTTTTGCTAAATTTTAAGTAAATTTCAGGTAAAACTGAACCCTGGAGCTCCGGTACAAATCGTCCAAGGCGGAGTCACCCTCCGTCACCCAGCCCTGATCCCCCGAGACCCACCTCCGCAACCCTTCCCTCCCGCGAACCCCTCCTCAGCCCCAGCCGCGTTTACTCTCCAATCCTCCCAGTTCTTCGGCAACTTGCAGAGCGCGGTTAGCCCGCCGTCGAACGGAATCGGAGGAAACTTCCCCGACGGCTCGTACCACAACCTCTTCAAGAGGGAGAAGAACTCGGTCGAAAAGGAGGGCGAAGAGAAATCCTCGACTAAGAAGAGACAAATCGAGGATACCAGCATCGAACACTCCGACGGGAAGGTAAGTGAAAAGAAGAGACCATAGTTGAACGGGATGTTGAAAAGGAGAATTCTCAGGTGACCTTCGTGCCAAGGGAAGAAACCGATAAAGCGGAGGAGCTGGAGAAAAGGGGCTCGGAACTGAAGAAACGAGAGCTGGTGCAGCTGGGGGATGGACTGATAGTCGACGACAGATACATTTCCCAAGGACTGGACAACGACTACTTCGCTGGACTGACCAACTTCGGACTCCAGTTACCGAAATACGAGAACAAGGACGACGAAAGGGAGCCCGCGGAGGCGGAGGTGAGGATGATCATGGACGTCTGCGACGGCTGCGCCGAGGAGCCCTTCTCCAAGGCCCTCGTCATGGCCTGGAGATCGGTCCCGAAGAAACTCTACTCCGGCGCGCTGCATCTACCAGCCACCCCGCTGTGCAAAGTGTTCTGAATCCGACCCAACCCCGCCATCGCTGACACGGGATCTCTTTCCTACGTGTTGCGAACTCGAACGCGATAGTTCGATCTGCCCGAGGATCGATCACTTAGACGTATTTATCGCCACCTCGGACGTGGCCCACATAGATCGGTGAACTTGTAGAAAAGGTATTTATTGTAAAATTCGGCCTTAGTTTGGGGGAGTAGCTTTTCTACAAGTTCTCCTTAGATCATTAAGTTTGTACGTACACGCGGTTAGGCTAAGCGTCAGTATTAGATAAGTATGTATACATGTATCGGAAAGAACGTCGTCCCGACGAGACGACATGCGTCGACGGAATAAAACCATGCAATCGTTACGATACCTTGCTCTTGTGAATGTGTTGGTGCTGGTACTCGCTGTCGAACTCCGGCTCGCTGAAGTAGCTCTGGTCCTCCCAGTGCGGGGGAAGTCCTGCCCCGGTCCCGGGTATCCCAAGGGGTCCCGACATCCCGGTCACGCCGTCGGTACTCTCGAACAGTCTCAGCACGCTACGGTCTCGGATGTCTCTCAGATGGGATCTGAAATATAATCGGCACCGTTATCCGAAAAGTTCCAGAACGGATCGAAAGAAAGTTCGCGGCCGTTCCGCCGGGTACCTGAGATCTTCGAGTTCGTAGAACATGTCCTTGTTACTGTCGTGTATGTAAACCTTCACGTGTGGACTGTCTAAGTACTCCATAGTCAGTTGCTTCGGGAAACTTCGGACGAAGAGGGCCTTGACGGTGTCTATGCTAGTGATTTCGTTGGGTAGCAGTGCCCGCTTCGTCTCGTTCCTATACTGCAGGAACACTAGACCTAAGGAATCGTCCACAGAAACGCATCGTTTCGTCAGGTATGTCCGACAAGGGCATCGATCGGCGAGGCAGCAACAAGACGCTCCTAATTCTATCGCGGGTCGTGAGTTACCTAGTGGTCGCTCCAGTGTCTTGCTGGGGTTCCGTACCACGGGGAGGCTGCTTCTTTGCTTACCACCCCGACGGAATCCGGTGCTCGATGTCTCCACCTCGGACATGATGCCCGGGTCTTCATCGAGCAACATCGTGGAGGAGGGAGGCGGGTACCCGCGCGGAAGAGGCGACTGGAAACAATCGTTTGCAGCTCGATTAGCATCGTTCGTCCTCGCGTCGCGGTCGTATCAACGGGATCCGTCGAAACGAAACTGGCGACGCGTCGGTCGACGGAGGAAAGAAAAGACGGCAAAAATCGGAGAAACGAGGAAATTGAACGTGCATATTGAAAAAAAAAAGAGAAGAAGTAAATTACCTTTCTCTGGCGAGACTTGGTCCCCATCTGTTTGCGGCGCCGGGTACACGGAAACACACACACACAAGTAAACCAGTTAGATGTATATACATATATGCATGGAGCAGAAAGAAAGGGGTTTGCTGGAAATGTAGTTTGAAAAGGCAAGAGCGAACAATGCGATCGCGACCGATCGATCCGGCATCGGTGACTGCTCTTCGTCGGATTCGTGGCGGCTGGTCTAGTCCTGGAAAAAATCTGCCGCGATCGCCAACTCGGTGCCAACGATCTCCTTTTCCGTTCCTTATCCCTCGATTTCCCGCCGAAAATTCGTCCGAGTTGGCGACCGCGTTAACGCGTTCCCGCGTCGAATCGATGGACAGACAAGAGGTAAAACGGAAACCAGAGACAAGAAGAGAATAAAGGATCGAAACGAGCAAGAGGGCGTGACGATGCACGATAAAAGAGACGTTCGGTCCGCGTGGTACGAGACAAAGGGAAGTACGCGGATAAAGGAGGTACGGCGCAGGGACGTTTCCATTCCGCCGATCGGATTTCCGCTCGGCAACGGGTTAAACCTGGGGATCGATAGATTCGCGCGACACCGGACACCGAAACTCGCGCTCGAGGAGAGGATCGGGAAACGAGGACGGCGTAGGTGGATACGGCTTAATTAACCTCTTCCCTTCGTTACGCTCGGTTCTTGACCTCGGAAATATCCGTTAAAATCGTTCGTCGCCGACGTGGGATGCTCGAGCGAAGATCGGTAGAAGAGGGAAGAGGCTTACGTAATCTCCGCGCGCGATTCGTTAACGGCGGACCAGGAAGAGGGACCGCGATCCGATACCGAGATACCGGTTACCTTGCGTCCCGAACGCCCCTGGCGCGGTTCGATCGACGGGGAATAAGATAAAATATTATAATTAGGGTGTGGACGTATCGAAAATGGGCATAAACGATCAGATTCTTAACGGGGTACATATTTACGTGTTCCGGAAGCAAAGATTCACCTCGAGATCCATGGTGGTGTGACGCGTAGGCGGCGTACCGTACTGTCCGTGTGGCGGCGGCAGGTGATGGGGATGAAGGGGATGCAACTGCTGGGCAGCGTTGAACTGTTGATGATGTAGGGACGGTTGGTGATCGCCACTGAGGGTGTGCCTCCTCGGCTCGTCCCTTGACCGACCGCCACCCACCGACCCGCTTCTGCCCCCCGGGCCGCCTCCGCCGCTTCCTCCGCCTCCACCCCCGCCTCCGACACCCAACACGCTTCCTCCGCCCCCGACTCCGATACCACCGCCGCCGCCACCTCCCCTTCTACCACCTGGAATTTCGTTCGAGCCTGCCTCACCCTCCCCCCTGCCGGACCCACCTGAAACAATAAAAAAGCAGAACTTCGATCAGTATATTATTTTTTTTTTGATTAATCTAACGAAAGATTAAGACGTTCCGCACGACCGACCTACTTGGCGGGTAAGTTACGGATAATTTTGGCCTTCGCGAAACTGGCCGGAAATAGTAAACGAAGGATCCTACACGTGCGAACGACAGACGACCATTTTATCGCATGTTTTCTCCGCGGTATTCGAGGATACCCCGCTATTTACCGATAGAACCAACTATTTCCAATCGGCGCGTAATCTATGCGCTGGCAATTCGGATGGCACGCGGGTCGAACCGAACGCAACGAGGCTGGCGCGCTTAATCGGAACACGAGGATGGAAGCTAGCGGAGTAGGAAAGTAGGTCGCAAACGGCTGCCCGTTGCTCTCCGTCCAATTAATAAACGAGCCTCGCGAATTCCGCTGCACCGTAGCAGCATCGCGCGAATCCGCCCGGTCAATCGCCCGTTTCTCCCGCGATAATTAACGCTCGTCGCAGAATTATCCCCTTCCATCGCGACGCTGATGCCCGATTAGTAGGCGCACCTTATCCGCGCCCGTCTCGTTGATTGCGAAATTGAAACGTCTCGCGCGTCGACTTATCGTCGAGGACGAGTATTCGCCGAACGGCCGATGAAATCCATTACGGGGAAGACGGGTGAAATTTCATAACGCCGATCGATAGCCCGGCTGGTATCGAAATTCGTTAAAAGCCCCGAGACGGGCACTCGACAGCGACGCGGTTCCATCGAGACGAACTTTCTCACTGATTTTTCCAAGTAACCCTTCGGCTTTCTCCGCTTTCCTTCTCGAGATCCTGCGGCGAGAAACGGTGCCTGTGGTAAAAGTAACGAAAGAACAGACGCGTACGCACGCGAGGGTTGAAACGATACGAAGCGCGACGCGCGGCGATACGGGCAGCACTGGCACCGCGACGCGCCGCGAGATTCTTCAACGAGTTTATTTTCAGAATACCGGCTAGCGTGAGAGTATACGACGAATCAACGAAGCTCTGTTCCCTGCTACGTCGAGAAATCTAATCTAACGTACGGCTATTCGATAATTCCTCGACGGAGATAAGATTCCGTCCGGGCGGACTGCAAATACCTGCGCGTATGGAACTCGTAACGCATCGACGACGAATCGATCGGTCTCCGCAGTTTCCTCTTCGCGGAGAATCGTTCTTTTTTTTTTCTTTCTTTCTTTCTATGGTCGCATCGGCTGCAGGAAATTAGAGCGACGCGTAACGAGGCCGACCGATGAATTGGTCTCGATAAACGAACGAAAATAACCCGGACGCGTTTCACACTTGCAAGTTCAACGTTCCCTTTCGAGTAGCCCGCCCACGCTCCGGAAAGAAATTTACCAAAACGCCCCCCGTGGTTATTAACGGAATGCCGGGCGAGGCGTTCCTAGAATCCACGAGGATCGAACGCGCGGTTTCCGTGGAGAGTATTCTAGCCAACGATCCTGCGAGATCGCAATTACGCGTGTGCACCGATCGATTTCAATTACCGCGACACGAACGTTGCAGCCGAGTGGCTTTGGTTCCTTGACCTCGCCCTAGGTACAACTGTTGCTCCCTTCCTCGATTTGCGTGCATCGAGGCAATCTTGCTTGATAAACCTTTCCATTAGGGGCGTGCGGGTACCCGGGTAGGGTCGAGTCGGGTAATGATCGAGTTGGATCGAATGGAACCCTGGAAGTTTCTCCCAGCACGAGCATTTTTTACTTCGACCCGAATTTTCGGGTACCCGGGTCGGGTCGGGTCGAGTCGGGTAATGATCGAGTTGGATCGAATGGAACCCTGGAAGTTTCTCCCAATACGAGCATTTTTTACTTCGACCCGAATTTTCGGGTACCCGGGTCGGGTCGAGTCGGGTAATGACCAAGTTGGATCGAATGGAACCCTAGAAGTGTCTCTAAGCACGAAAATTTTTTACCTCGACCCGAATTTTCGGGTACCCGGGTCGGGTCGGGTCGAGTCGGGTAATGACCGAGTTGGATCGAATGGAACCCTGGAAGTTTCTCCAAGCACGAGCATTTTTTACTTCGACCCGAATTTTCGGGTACCCGAGGCGGGTAATGACCGAGTCGGGTCGAATCAATTGGGAATTCTAAATTTTCTCCAAATACAAAAACTCTCTATCCCGACCTGAATTTTCGGGTACCCGCGCTTTCCACCAGTTTCCACGATGAATTACTGGACATATCGCGTGCGTTACGCATCGAAGAATCCATCGAAACGCTTTCTCTGGCAACGAACTCGAAGCGTGGCTTATGAATCGAGTTGGAAGGAGGGACGGAGAGAGCACGGTCGAGGACAACGAGGAGGAGGAATCGTGGCCATACGGGTGCAGGCGCCGCGCTGAGTATTAATCTCGTCGCGGAGAAAGAACAGCACGGCGTCGATTAGCCACGCGAAAGTTTTGACCCCCCAGTATATGCATCCATTTCTTTTCTTTCCTTCTGATTCGACAATTTTTCGCGCGAATTTTGAACAGTGACTGGAATAAAAAATATTTTAGGAAGAAACGCCCGGTACTTTCGGACCAGGAGGCGTTCGATCGCTCATACGATACACTCGTTGCCCGATAGACAATAATTCCCCGGCGCGGCGGATTCTGCAGGCCGTTTATCGATTATCGTTGGCCAAAAATACGCGCTCGAAAGTGCGCGAAACTGGCTCCTCTCGAATTCCAGCTGTAAACTCGCCGGGAGAAGCCCTGCGCCGTCGGAACGACGAAAATCGGATTAAGCCGAGACGAAAGAAGCGATTCGTGCCCTTGAGATTTACGAGTAGTTCGAGCTAAGGTTCAGCGAACCGGACAAACACGACGAGCCGCGTTAATTAACCGTAATTGTTCTAAGTAGTAACGGGACTGGGAGACGGGCGCGTTTCGCGAATCGAATAGAGAAGGGACGACATAGAAATCGAAACGAATGATACTCTCCGTTTAACCAGGAACAAAAGAAAGCACAAAGGGCGAGGGCGAAAAGCAAAAGAAGACTTTGGATTATAGGGTTGCCCGTTCTTGAAATTGTCCCCTCTTCGTTTCATGCGAATAGCAGTCGCAGTCGCCGTCGCGAGCAGCAACCAGGGCCGAGCGTGGCGCGTTGGGGCGCGTGAGCCTGCGTGCCGTGTGTGCGTGGCTTCTGAATCGAGCGCGTGCTGCCAGGCAAAAATCTATATCGCTTTTCAAGCCGGAGAATGCCTTCCGGGGAGAGGAAACATTCCCGGCACGTGCACGTGCGTGCGCGGATACGTGCGTGAGGACGTGCTTCTACGTTATTTAGCGGGCTGCCCGGCCCCCCGGTACAGCCCACGTGTCCACGCGTCCTCCCCAGCATCCCGACGCTTCCTTCACCGCCGCGGCACACATCGGATCTCGCCGATTTGTTTTTCTCCTAGCCCGAGTGTATGGCCGACGGCATCGATCGCACGCGATTCCAGAAGCGTCCCCGCACGCTGCCCCGCTGTTCCCGTTCACTTACCCGACGAGTCTGGACAAACTTACGGACCAAACGGGCTACTCCTAACCTCGGCTCCTGGGAAACCGTCCTCAGCTTCCGCTCGGCTACATCTCGGAGGACGAACGAGAAGATACCGGAAAAGCGTTTCGAGTGACGCGATCTGGTCACTGTCCTTTCCGCGACGCGTGCACGACTGCCGGCCCTCGAAGGCAGAGCCGGTTGAACCGATACGAAGCAACGCCACCGTCCTCGTTGCCGTCGCTACCGCCTCCACCGCCGCCGACGCCGCTTTTATAATCAATATTAGTTGACGGAGGATCCGCCGAGCGTCGCCGCTCGACGATCCGGCGTCGCCAGCGAGATAGACGACGATATCGAAATCGAAAGCGAATTATATTTTTGCGAACGCGGTTTTTTGATCAGAAAATAGATGATTAAGTCTAACTGGGGGTGGCTACTTACTTATTAAGGACGTTCGTTAGAGGGAAAGACGGGAACGCACCTCCAGAATGGTCGCCCTCGATCTGCATCCCGACGTCCTTTCCCTACAGGAGCCCGGTGCATCCCCAGAAACCGCGTCATCGTTTCGCACCAGGGTATCCCAGTTTCCGATTCATCGTCGAACGATCAACGAGCGGAAAAAAAAATGAAGAAAACGCGGAGCCGATTTTCCCGCACCCTCGCCCGCCCCCCACCCAAAGGAACGAGGTTCGCACTATTCCGGACACTGGAAAACGCGACCCCGTGATCGGACGTTTTTTATTCGGAAATCGGCGACAGGGTGTGGCGAGAGAGCCACACGGTTTTAAAACATTGCCACGCGATTCGCTTCGACCGGCGTCCACCGGCGGCGGGGGCGCCTTCGAGCATCGCAACCAGCGCGACGCCGGTGTCGCGTCGACTAGCGTCGCGCCATCTTGCCGAGGACGACTGGGACGCCTCCACTCGGGACGGTATATCGGTCCCCTTTCACCGACCGAGGGAATTCCACTTTATCGTTCGAGCCTCTTTACTTATCCTATGGTACTCTATCCTATCCTTTGGGATTTCCTTGGGATCTCATCTTGCCTTCGGTATTGCTTCGATCGTTCGTTACATTTCTCTTTTATTTTTACGACGCGACTCGATTACGAATAAGGGATGAATAAAAAATTCGAACAAACTCCTATCCGATGTCGGTAATTTTTCATTCGAGATGCATGCCAACGCGAGGGGGGATATTGGAGGTGTCATTTTTACAGAAAAAATTGGCTGCACTTGTCTGGAACTTTTACAAATAACTAGGAATGTGCGGGTACTAGAAAATTCCATTTGGGAATTTTTTTCGAGTTCAGGCACAACTGAAAATTTTTCCAGGACATTAATATATTCGTCTGCCCGAATATAAACTCAGTCCGGGTCCCCGAATAAATGTTTTAGAATCTCAGTCAACCCGACCCGACCCGTCCGGAGACCCGGGTACCCGCACACCGTTCGAGTTAACGGTTGCTCATTTCAATAGCCACAGCAAAGTTTCGGCGGGGCAGCTTGCCGAGTGCTAATGGAAACGAAGCTTTAAATCGTTCCTGCCCGTTGAAACGGCAACTTTATGCACCCAGTTAATCCCGCTTCCGGCGTCTTTGCAGCAAAACTTCCGGCCGTGTGTAATCGAGCGGGACGCGTCGAGTAACGGGCTGAAAGAACAGCCGGCAATTCGAAGGGAAACGGAACAAAAGGGAACGTCTGCGAGACAAGTTTCCTCGGGAAATTTCGACGTGATCGCGTTCGCGATCGTGCCGCGCCGCAACGAAATCCGCTTTTCGGAATTAAGGGCATTCGATTCGATTATTGGATCGTCCCGTCCCTCGCATTAGACACGCGTCTCGCGGATCGATCGAACACGGAAACGTTAGAATTAGAATACCCTTTGCATTAGAAATCTTCCATTTTTATAGGAACTTACATCTACGACTTTACCGAGTTACCGGTACGTCGGGGGAGCGGAGAGCGAGGTTGGGCTGAGCGCGTTGCCCCGAGGGCACAGTTAACGCGAAAGACGGAAGGGCGGTCGCCGTATCGCTTTCACGCGTCAAAGAGTAACCGGAAGGGAGAAGGCCGGTGCCGTGGTGGTCGGTGTTGAAACTCGAACCGAGGAAACCCGACAGACGCTTCGCCGATTCCAGGGGTTAAGTTAAGCTCCTGCCTACTTAAACACCGTCCAACGCGGGACGCGAGGAACACAGGGGTTCAGGTCTGGCCAAAATCTCGACTAAAGCGAAAAGGAACGAGAAGAATTCGCGACCGAGTTTCTTCGCAAAAGAGGCTGACTCACCGATGTCGTTGGACTGTCGGCCCTTGCCATCCGAATTCCACTCTTCCTCTGCAACAAGAAAAAGGACACAGGCATCTATTAGCATCGGTGCCATAGCGAGAGGAAGGTTGTTCGACCGATCTAAAAGCTACACCGTTTTCTAAGTAGGGGTGCGGTTCAAATTTACCGAGTTCCTTCCACCTAAAGAGGTTTCCGCGCTCCGTGTAGGTGCAGGTTGCATAATTCAGGAGCGCAGAACTCCCGCAGAGGCTGTGGCCTGTGCGCGGCGTGTAAATTTATAAGGATCCGTGGTACCTCCGTGACGTCGCTTTCGCATTCTTAGCCACGCGGGAGGTATGAATTTAAATTCACGCCCCGTCGACCCATATTCCGGCGGTCGACGAATTCGCCGCCGAGCGCGGACCGGGAAGAGAGCACCGCGGGCCACGGACGCGCGACGATTTAATAACGCTGAGGCCGGTCAACGCATTTCCATGACAAACGTCTCGCGCGAAAAGCTCCCTATGAAACTCCTGCGCGACATCTAAATGTCAAAAGATCCGTCTGTTTACAAAACGAAACAGGGAAGGGAGGAGAAGGATGGCTCGAGGCTCTGCCAAAAGGGTAAACTTTTTTCTCTTCACCCTCGTCTCCTCCCTCGCAATCTCGTTTCAACGTTCTCTAAACGAACGCGACAAACGCAAACGGGACGTCCTTCTCGCACGAATTCAATTCGAAAGAGAGGAAGAAAAAGAATTGCTAGTTTTCCTTTTCGCGTTTCGACGTCCATTTACCAGCTCGCGTCTCGAAAGGGTCGATGCTGGAGTTTCGAGACAAACGAAGCTTGAAACTAACAAATGCGCAATCCAGATCGGGGAAGAAGGTTTAAATCTTTTTCGACCACCTAAGATTAGCTAAGAAAAGAAAGTGGGTACAGTTAGACCCACCCCGTTATCCCATGATACGGAAGTTCTTTTTCCGAAGGGAAACGAAGGTTACCTGAAGTGTCGGATTCGGATCCTGGCGTGGGGCTAGCGTCCACGCTGTGCCGAGATCCTTGGCAACACTCGCTGCACTTGCTGCACATTTCTCTCCCGTTCCCTTTCGCAGACAAGGATCACCCTTCGATTCGCTGCTTTCGAAAGGATCGATTATCGTTCGGCCAAGTACGGCCTGTTGTTCGAAGGCATCGATCGAAGCCACTGTGGTCTCCCGATTTCCACGGCCTCCACCGTCACCGGCACCACCATCACCATCACCGATACCATCACTAGTAGCAACACCACCACCGCGAGCCTCGAAACCCGGTCAAACTACCGTAGGAAAATGATTTTTATCCCATCCGCGAGTTTATCTCCTTCCATCGGCCGCCTAACGCTCTGCCAAATTGAAATCGAGCTGAAATTGCGCGAATCCTCGCCGATTTATCTTTGAGAATTGGGAGGAGACTTCTGTGACGATGATCGCGAGATTCCCAAGGAGCAAGCAATCGAAATGGCAGAGTTTGCCGAGGAATCGCAAACCGTCCGGATGGTCGGCGACGCACGGTGCATCGCGAGTTTCCCCAGGAGCGAGCAACTGAACTGGCAGAGTTTGTCGAGGAATCGGAAACCGTGACGAGCGAAGGAAACTCATCGGAGAAGCAAAGAGACACGTAATTCCCGGTGGTCACCGTCTGAACGTGGCATCAAAGCGGCACGGGGGAAAGAAAATAATTACAGCGAAATAGGAATTGGACGAGTCGGGGGGATGGGGACGGAATGAGAAACAATAAAGCCTGGTCGAGGAGGAGGAACGGTAAATGGCATCGGGTTAAACGAAATTCAGAAACATCGGGGGAGGAACGGTGTTGCAGAGCGACGCGAAATTAACTGGTAACCCGATTCGCCAGGAGAAACCGAGGACGTAGGACGCGGACGAATCGGTTGGCCACGCTCTCACGGAAATCGATCGTCGAACGCAACGATGGCAATTCGCAATTACGCGAGCGGTATTTTGCGAGGCTGGCTCTCGTACACCTCGAAGCGAGACTAATGGGGGTTGAGTGGGTGGGCCTGCATAGGGCGATGGGTGGCGATGACGCGCGCGCTCTCCTGCCACCTCAAATTCCATGTAATTCGGTTCCTGGAATTCGCGTAACCAGCAACCAACCAGCGAGATTTCCATAAACGACCGATCGAAATTCGATTAAACGTCGATGGGTTCGTTACGTCCAAAATCGATCATCGATTTTAATCGCCCGTAAGGTAGAACAAACGAATATTTTCTGCTAGAGCTAGAGGGGGAAAAAAAAGGTCGTCGAGCTGGAGCCGCGAACAGAGAAAAGTTGGAATGGGAACAGGGATAAACGCGGAAACAGCGGGAAAACGGGAGGAAAGTTTTCCTCGTGGCAATTCGCGAAATTGCGCAACGAAGCGCGATCACGCGATTCTTAAGTGGCGATTAAGCTCGAGGCTCGCAACAGAGGGAGAGAAGCAACGTCTACTCTACTCGAGTCAGCGTCTTTCTTTCTGCTTTCGACTCCGTTAAGAGGCTTAAGCGAGAGAGGACGAGGGAGCAGAGGTCGGTGTGTACAGTCGTTAGAAAAACTGGCAGAGTTTGTCAAGCAATCGCGAACCGTCCGGATGGTCGGCGACGCACGGTGCCCGTCAGAGGAAAAGATACTTTGGGATTGTACTCGCGAGGGACCGCGAGTGGATGCTAATTAACCGAATTAGCGTGACGCGAGATCTCGAAAGAAGAAAATCTCAATTCGAATTCTCGGGTACCCGTCCGGTATTCCCGGCCCGACCCGACCCGGAGTAAAGTTCAGTAATGAACAAGCCGAGTCGAGTCAAATCGGGTAATGACCGGGTACCCGAACAAATTTAAGTCCTAATCGAGTACCCGTACGCCGTTAACTCCTACGCAGTTCTAGGTATCCAGTTGCGTGGGTGCGTGGAGGCGTGAAAACGCGATCGATTCGAGCGACGACTGGTCCGCGTACGCGTCGATCCATCCGATGCAACGAAACAAAACGTTTTCAAGGCACAGACCGTACAGAGAGACTCTTTGGTGCCTTGCGCGCGTGTCTATCGAACATCGGAAGACACTTTTTGCCTCGACCGGCAGGCTAACTTTTCCCCCTTCGAACAGCGACGGAACCTTTGTCTTTGTTCGTATCCTGCAAAGTATCGTTTTACTCCCTAGTCCCGTTTCCCTCTCCGCCGGTAATCGATACCGTTTCTTCTCCAGACGGACGATTAAAACGATCGTCCGCGGAACAAAGCGTCGCCGACGCACGGCGGCAGAGTTTGTCGAGGAATCGCGAACCGTCCGGATCGTCGGCGACGCACGGTGCCGGTATTTGCAAAGGCTACTTCGGACCGCGTACTCGGTGGAAGAAAACTACAGAAGCGGAAACTGATAGGAAAGCCTTTCTTCCGGAGTTAATTGGATCGCGTTTGGCGTCGCAACACCTGTACGACGCTCGAGCCTTCGGATAATTGGAGACGAGTCTTTTCTCGAGCTTAACTCGCTTCCCGCCTCTTCTACCTCATCCTCTCGTCACTTTTCCCGCGGAAATAACGAGATCCCGCGAAATTAACCCGGCAACCGTAAAACGACCAGCTTTGCTCTTCGTATTCGCGTATCTTCCGACATCTTCCTCTTGACCTTTAGGAAACACGATGGAAGCAACAGAAGAAAGGGTACCACTCTCCGCTTAGTAGCCGTCCCGTTTCCTTCTCCGGGATTCTTTTTGTCTTCGCGACGCGCCGTGGCTCTTCAACCAACGCTACGAGTAGTTCAGAAGAGATCGTTACCGCCGTTGAATGCGCAAGAGGAACGGAAGCTCCGCAGGGAAAACCAACAACCCGAAGCATCGCGTTGATCAATTGGGAATCGCGATCGTACCGACAAAGAAAATAAAAAAAAAAAAAAGAAAGAAGACGGTCGACTAACGAAACTACGAATGCATGGCAGACGATGCGAACGAAAAGCTTTCGTTTTCCGCTCCCTTTGCTAAGCGTGTCGATTGCGCGTGCAGACGGGCGACGCGTCGCCACCGCCACCGCCGCGACTCTTTTTATATCCCGTCTCTTCGTTCCTTCTCTCCCGTCCCGTATCCAGCATCGAAAAGCGTACGGTACGTCTGCTCGCCGGTTTTCTTTCTTCTTTTCCCTCCGTTACTTTAAACCGCGTCGCGCCTAGAATTTCCCTCTTTTTCCCCCGACCGCCAGCGTCGGTGAAATTCGAGCCGTCGCGTCAGGAATAATTCCTTTACCCTTCTCGATCTTCCCTTCATTTTTTTTTTTTTCCAACGAACGAACTTTTGGAGCGTGAACGAACGACGCCGAGCGTCCAGTCGAACGCCTTTTCCACGGGTCAAGGACAATCGCGACCCGCTCTCTCGGATGGTATTTATTTTTACAACGGCAAGGCAAATTTGCGGGGTGTATAAACGATCGACGTTCGATCGTCTCTAAATATATCCCTCCGCGTAAATACGTTACCCGCGGGAGAAGCGTTCACCCTGTGGGCCAGAAGTGGCGCGAAAGTAACCAGAGTTCGAGGATGCGCCTACGGGGGGGACACGCCTCCGTCGCGTCGGGTCAAGGATGCGCTTGCGACGCGGCAATTTCGAACGCCCTTTCCCTCCCTTCCGTCCGAGTCGCATGGAAATCGCGAGCGGGTACAATGGTCGGAAGATAAGTTGGCAGAGGCGTACGGCGGAAGAGGAAAGGCGGAGGTCGCGGTTCCGCGGCCAGAACCTGTTCTCGATCCTCCCGGTTGCTACATGCTCTTCGGCGTTGGTTCGTCGAAAAACGTGCGGCACTCTATCGATTATCGGTTTCGAGAAAAAAAGGGTATCCAGAAATATCCTGCTGCAGAAACCGAGGCACTCGTCGAGAACAAACGCGCACTGATATCGTTCTCCTCCGAACAAGACGAGACGATCCGGGCCCCGCCGGATGTCCGTTTCGAAACTCGCGCTCGAGGATCAACGTGGAGGGAATGGGAGCTGCCACGACGCCGACCGACTCGACGTCCGCATGCACACTGACACCGACGCTCCCTAGAAGCTTGCA